AAAAGTTGGCTTAAAGCTCAACATTCAGAAAACTAAGATCATGGCATCCGGTCCCATCACTTCATAGCAGATAGATGGGGAAACAGTGGAAACAGTAGCTGACTTTATTTTTCTAGGCTCCAAAATCACTGCAGATGGTGATTGCAGCCATGAAATTAAAAGGCCCTTACTCCTTGGAAGGAAAGTTATGACCAACCTAGATAGCATATTAAAAAGCAGAGACATTACTTTGCCAACAAAGGTCCATCTGATCAAGGCTATGGTTTTTCCAGTGGTCATGTATGGATGTGAGAGTTGGACTGTGAAGAAAGCTGAGTGCTGAAAAATTGATGCTTTTGAACTGTGGTGTTGGAGAAGACTCTTGAGAGTCCCTTGGACTGCAAGGAGATCCAACCAGTTCATCCTAAAGGAGATCAGTCCTGGGTGTTCATTGGAAGGACTGATGCTGAAGCTGAAACTCCAGTACTTTGGCCACCTCATGTGAAGAGTTGACTCATTGGAAAAGACCCTGATGCTGGGAGGGACTGGGGGCAGGAGGAGAAGGAGACAACAGAGGATGACATGCTTGGATGGCATCACCAACTTGATCGACATGGGTTTGGGTGGACTCTGGGAGTTGGTGATGTACATAGAGGCCTGGTGTGCTGTGGTTCATGAGGTCGCAAAGAGTCGGACATGACTGAGTGACTGACCTGCACTGAACTGATAAACACTTTTACTATCAACTATCACTAACACATTGGAGATTCAAAGCTATTCACTTCTGAGCACCCACAGGTACAAGGTCATTTGCAGGAGCCATCAGACCTGTGAACTCGAACAGCTGTGGGTAGGTCACTTCATCTTTCTAGACTTCAGTTTCCTCATCTACATATGACATACTTGAGAGAAATAAGCTCAGAAGAATACTTTCTAACTAAAATAATCTATATTTAGATTGTTGTTGTTGTTGTTTAGTCACTTAGTTGTGTCCTACTCTTTGCAACCCCACGGACTGCAGCACGCCAGGCTTCCCTGTCCTTTTACCATCTCTCGGAGTTTGCTCAAATTCATTTTCTTCAATTCATATATTTTTGAATATATGAATATATTCAATAAATGAACTGATAAATTCATTTATCAATGAATAAACATTCAACAAATATTCAATAAATGAGTATATTCAAATATATTTATATATATTTGAATATATGAACAACATACAATGTTTTACATTGTATATATATTTATATATTCAAATGTTTGTTTATATAAATCTTAATTAGGTAAGGGGGTTGCTAGATCAACTGCTGGCCCACACTATCTACCCAGGCATTTTATCTCTATTTAGTTCAGTGTCTAGACACTCTCAAATACAATCACAAAGAAATGACAACTAAAATGCCTTCTCATATTCTATTAAACATGTTGAAGAACTAAATAATTTAGAATCTATATGTGGAATAAAGCTAAAAAGATGGCCAGGAAAAGATGCTAAATATATTTACAGATATATATGTATACTAACAAGGTACCTAAGAACAAGAAAATGAGAAAATATGGGACGATGTTTCTGAAAACCAGCAAGTTTATACAAGCTCCACAATTCTCATAATCAATCCCTGTCACCATAGAAACCTTTTATCAGACTGAATGTGACTATCTGAAAGCAAAATATTTTGAGTTTATCTAAGGGTGTGCTTCTTGCTCTATTCAAGCCAGCAAATACTTACTGTTGGTCTACTATTTGATAAACATCCATATAACACAATCTCAGTTACATATAATAGTAGCTCATACTACATTTACCATTAGGAGTACAAGTTCATCCTCTGGAACAGGCTCTAGATCGGGAACAGTAAAAGACTCTGGAAACTGTGCTCCGTTGGTCAGGGCTTCTGCAGCTTTTATGGTGGTGGAGAAACACTCTAACCAGGCCCACTCATTTGGATTCCAGGATGCAGGGTCAGGGAGGCAGTGCTGGTGGTGTGGGGGCACTGGCGGATTACACAGCAGCTGATCCAGATGAAGTCCCACAGCAAGGGAAGCCAGACACTGCATATAGGGGCTGTGAACAAGCTGGTCTCCACAAACCACATGAGGCTAAGAGAAAAGGCAGGGATATGATGCTGAAGGGTCTCTGCCAAATATTATAAATCAGCCTACTGCATTCTGAAAGCCTGTAGTCATATTTTAACTTTACTGGTTCTTTTTAAAGCTTTTTACTTTGAAATAATTTTAGGCACATAGAGAGTTATAGAGATTAGTGCAGAGAATTCCTGTAAAATCCCAATCACCTCTAATGTTAACATCTTATATAACCATGGTACATCAATTAAAACTAAGAAATTAACATTGGTTACAATAATAACTAAACCACAAAACTTCACGGTGTTTCCCACTAATGTTCCTTTTCTGCTCTAAGATTCAATCCAAGACGCTACACTGCATTTAGCATATGTTCATTACAATTTTACAGTTTTTTTGTTGTTAGTTCACAATAACAAAAAAAGGGCAGAAAATTGGAACCATGGAGACCTGCACCCTCGCACATTTTCTCCTTTACCAAAAGAACCCTGGTAGCCACCAAAGACAGTCTCCTTCCATGGTCCTCCCTAGAGGTACTAGAGCAACTCTGAGTGACTGAGTGATTCAGAAAAGAAAACCTGGGCACACCTCACTGAAATTAACTGGGCATGGTAACAGCTGATCAGTGTAACACAGCAACAAACAAACAAGCAAAAGGAAAAAACCCCAAAGCACTTTGCTTCAGAACAGCATGCTGTGACTACTGAGGGCTGGAAGACAGGTTACACAGGATCATGACCTGGGCACCAAGTCCAGACTCCGTATTTCCCATTCTAGTATTTAACAACCCTACTTATTTAGTTCAACCTTAGCTCTTCCACTAAACTTTCCACAAAGATTCACCTGATAAGTGGACAGGATATTCACTCTGATGCCCATATCCACTCCACCTCCCAACTCTGGGATAGCAAAGCCACACAAAAATAGATATTTGGGTTAGAAAAGGGAAGATGATGTACTCTGAAGTACAGGGGTTTAAATAGGTTTTGAATGAACAAATAATCTGAAAAAGAATGACAGAAGCACTATACAAATCTGAGGGTTATTTAAACATTTTACTCCCATTAAAATAAAGTAAAAGCAGGTTTAGGATTACTGAACAACAATTTTAGGCATGACTGTTTTTCATTTGCTTCTGCCCAAATAAACCCACTTATTTCACTCAGATCTCATATGCTTAAAGGATAAATTCAAAGCTACAGTTCAAATTCCAAAGCACCAGTCATCTGTATATCTGCAAGACTGACTGTAATCAGTTACCTTTTCATATGCATACTGCTCCTGAAGCATCACGGGTAGCCGCTCCAAAAATGCTCTCATGCAGGGAGCCATGTTTAATCCCAGAATACCTTGTTGTTTCAGTGCTGTCCTACAGGTTGCTAAAACATGATTAGCAGCAGTCCATTCTGCTGTACAATTCACGACCAAAACATCCTGATGAAAAAGAAACCATGCCACATGATAATTGTTTAAATAAAAGAGAGACAATTCCACCACTATTTATATATGAGAAATTCCTTCCAATAATTGCATTAAATACTTTTGCCTTTTAGACATTTTATGCTATACTTTTAATGCCTAGGAACTTCAAAATATCCTAAATTTTGTCTAAGGTAAAAACAAGTGAATAAGAAATAACTACAAAATTTGTGAACTACCTTGGATTAGCTGATTCTTCTTAAAGAGACATTAATTATTTGCTATTTCATAGGATTTATAGGAAAAGCATCCAGTATATTTTAACAGTCTGACATGATGAAAGGAATACTAGAGGGATCAGTACTCTGCTGACTGACACACAACTACAGGAGAAGCAGCACTGCCCTATGGCTCTATGGTTTATTCTATGCAGGCCACTGCTATCTATGGTCCGATTCTATATTTTACATCTAGTAGGACTGTTCATGCAGGTTTACAGCTCTATACTTAACCACATAAAATGTAAACCAAAGCAGGATTATTGGCACTACTCATTAGGGATATGAAAAGCAATATTATAAGAGATAAAGTGAAAGTGAAGTGGCTAAGTTGTGTCCAACTCTTTGCAACCCCATGGACTGTAAGAGATAATGTCATCACAAAATTATTTCACAGAAGAGGGCTAGTATTTTTCACTAGAACATTAAATTTGAAAGCCAAGATCTATTCTGAATACTTGAATTAAAGGTTTATGAGGTGGTCCTTCTTTTTAAGGAAAATTATTTTAAGATAATTTAGTCCTATCTCAAAAATCATGGCAGAAAGTAAAAAGTTCTCTATAACTTCCAGTGGAAAGTCATTCAATAACTAAGCATTTTCCCCAAAAGAGTATAGAAGAGTACTAGGTTCTAGTTTTCCTTCTGCCACTAGATAGTTGCATTATCTTGGGCAAGTAATAATCCCTCTGTATATCAGTTTTCTCCTCTGTAAAGTGGGATCCTTGGACTACGATTTCAAAGATACCTCAGAGGTTAACAACTTATAATTTGATTTAATTATAAAATTACCTTTGATCTATTTGAGCAAGCAGCCACCCCAACATCTGGAATCCATACTGTGGTCTGAATAGCTCCAGAGCCAATCACAACAGTTTGCAAGACAGAGCCATCCTAAAATGAGATGTATTCATCAATACACATTCCTTAACTGGTTAGCCATTATTTACATTTTAAATTTATACTTCACATTCACAAAAATTTATTCTAAAACCTACATTTAGCTAAATTAGGCAATGTCCAACTGCATACTACTATCCATTTTTCTAGAGCCTTTTCCAAAGAACTTTAAAAATACATCACTAAGAAAAATTAAAGGGCAGGGAATTCTGAAAAGGGTTTCTTCAATATTCAAGATATTATTACACAAAATATTCCTAAGATTGGTTGGGTTAACTTTTATTGTATGTAAGTTAATATAAAAACATTTCTGAAAATGAAAATAACATCTATACTCTTACCCTTAAAGACCAAATGTTCATAAGGCCACCTAATCCACCAGACACCAGGGCCAACCCATCAGAACTAAAGGCAACGGTCCGGACAGGGGTGATGTGTCCTCGCAACTGATAAACACACTTGGCTCCAACTGATTTCCTATATCCATCCTGCAATTAATTTTTATTTTGAACAAATATTAAAATTAAAACAATTTATAATTCATTCTTGGAAATTTTATATTTCAGTATAAAGTTGGGAAGAGGGAAGGACAACTTTCTCATAAGGGTTAGCCTGACAGAAAATAATAAGATACGAACCTGGTTCTCCTTCAGTGATGCTATTTCATCTTTTTTTTTGCTGTACTTATAATCTAGTTTCCTACTCTTCAAACAGACTACATTTGTTTCAATTATCCCTCAGAAATAGGAAAAATTCTAACTTTTACCTTTTGCAGGAGAGGGGGAAGGGGCGTTGCCACGGAACATGTGGGATCTTAGTTCCCTGACCAAGGATCGAGCCCCATCCCCTGTAAAGGAAGTGCAGTCTTAACCACTGGACCACCAGGGAAGTCCACTTCTACTTTTTAATGAGTGTTTTAATTTGGAATTTCGCTTTATGTAATTTTCATTTTTTGCCTCTAACATTTGTGAATTGCACATGCTGGTGCTATACAAACAGGTTCTTTTATCTGTTATGGTTCTGTCTATCACATGGTATTTAATCTCAACATAATCTCATGTTTGCTCTGCAGGTTTTAGCAATGAGATAGCTAAGGCTTGTCCAAAGGGCTACTTTTTAGCAGAGACGGCAAATCAGATTTATCTCAGGTGCTCCTACCTCTGCTTCTGTGGTATTTTTTCCTAGTAGTGAGCTATCCACTCCCTCCTCACCCCTTCGTGTCTTCAAGCTCCCTTTTCCTTTTAGTTATGAGAGGGTATAATACCAGATATACTCATTTACCCAAAAATGACGTAATGTATTTCCTCTAGGAGTATTTGTATCATGAACAAAAAAGAAAGCAACAGAGGCTGCAAACTGGCAACTCAGGGATATAATTCAACTGGCCACCCAGGGTTTTAAGGAATTTTCAAGTCACATGCCAGTATTTAATATTGGGAAATTTTACTTAAAACACTGAATTTTTAGTTTCTGTCAAAAAAAGTAGACAATCTGGTAACAACAGGATCTCATTTCTAGAGGGTGGCAATCAGCTTGTGGCAGTTATGCCCTTTATATGAAGCTGTGCACCCCTGGGTGTGTGTATGTATGTATGAAGCATATGCACTCCTGGAGTGGGTAGGTGGGTGTTGTGTGTGTGTGTGGAGTGTTTTACATTCTCCATACCTTCCAATTCCCAGCTTTGTGAATTTATGTTACTTACCTAGATTGCTCTGTGAGCATCTACTGTAATTTTCATTTTCGGCCACATCATGCATTTTGGCATCTTAGTTCCCTGACCATGGACTGATTCTGGGGCTACAGCAGTGAAAGCGTCAAGTCCTAACCACTGGATCACCAGGAAATTTCCTTTCTACTCTAATCTTTAACCTCTGTTTAACGTAAAGGAATGGTTCTATAGATGGAATTCTGGTATCAGTAGGAGATACTTTGGATAGGAGTGCTCCTGTGGTGTTCCTACTTAACTGTACCAAAACTCTTTAACTTGGGACTCACCTATTGGTAGTGTCAATTATATACCATAAATGATCACCACTTGATATTTACTGAGTATCTCACCTTAATAAGTAATTATGGTATCCCTGACTTACAAAAAAAAAAAATAAAGCTAATTCAAAAAGCACACAAAGTATGACAATTATTCACATTTCCCTAACTATTCTTGACGTTTGAGATACCAAGTAGGAGGACTACTTGATAACATATACTATCTAAGGTTTCAAATAAAGTCTTGAAAAAACACCAGAACACTTACCTGGCAACTTGATTCCTGGTCCCACCATCCTTCTGAACTAGTCACACTGGTCTGTGTGATATCTTGGGGAATACGCCAAACACATACCAAGCCACTCTGACAGCCACTTGAAAAATTTGATCACATAAAACCAAAATATGTCAATATGTAGAAGTAAAAATATTCTCAAACAGCAATCAATTAAGACCTGATAGAAATACTACAATATATTAAAAAAAATTATTTGTGGTAGGTATGCTATAATTTCACAAGAAATACAAGTAGGACTCATGTTTTTTACCAATATTACATGGGGTTAAGGAGATGGCATATCTCTGGATTGCATAGCCAAAGCTTCACATTGGAAAACTGCTCTTTATTTCTCTAAGGTGATCTTATGGTATTACACATTTTAGAACAATAACTGGTAATAAACAGTTTAAAATTCTTGAGAAGCCACACTTAAAATGTGAGTAACAGCCTACACTAATATAAAGATTAAGACACACACACAAATTTATAACATACGTGGCCATCAGTAAATGCAACTTGGATCCTTTCCCTGGAAGGCTGCACCAAGCAATGCCATTTACAATAGATGGATGGCAGAGTGAATGCAGACAGCGCCAGCACCCTGAAATTGGTCCCCAGAGTTTCACATTTTCTTCTTTGGCACATGTCATAAGAATATGACCTGTTGGGTCCCACTTCATACTAATAAGAGTATCCTTAAAATGGTAGAGGGAGAAAAATATCATAGTAATGCTCACTTTACAAACACTTAAAACTTAGTAATTTATGACCTATACTTCTATCACTCAATTATTTTGAAATGGACATTTTATGCAAATCAGATACTATTACATTATTTTCAACCACTAACTAACTCATTGTTTAATATAGTCTGTATTATATATATTTGCTGCAGTCAAAGCCCAATAAATGTTACTTGGATGAATGAATTATGAAATTCTAATTAAGAAGGAATATGTTATTTTTCATCACCATTTTTAAAGTTATTTTTATTGACTACTGATTATCAAAATAAGAAAAAGAAGAAACTTTTTTTTTAAAGAAGAATCTCTTACACTAAAAATAGCTAATACTATGAGAACCTGGGACATGTTTCATGTTTATACGGTTGTCTTCACTGGGTTCTTCTGATTTTTTTAAAATTTATTTTTAATTGAAGGATAATTGCTTTACAATGTTGTATTGGTTTCTACCATACATCAACATGAATTGGCCATAGGTTTACCCATGTCTCCCCCAACCTGAACATCCCTCCCATCTCCCTTGCCACCCCAACCCTCTAGTTTGTTCCTGAGCCCCGTCTGAGTTCCCTGAGTCATATTAGCAAATTCCCACTGGCTATCTATTTTACACACAGTAATGTACGTTTCCCTGTTACTCTCTCCACACATCCCACCAGCGGTGTCTGTAAGTCTGTTCTCAATGTCTAGTGTCTGCACTACTGCTCTGCAAACAGGTTCATCAGTACCATCTTTCTAGATTCCACATACATGTGCTAGTACACAATATTTGTTTTTCTCTTCCTGACTTACTTCACTCTGTATAACAGGCTCTATTTTTCTGACGTTTTTACCCTTCTTCACATGTTCCAACCACTGGCTTCATGAATTTATGTTACTTAACTAGTGGCCCCATAAGCTTCTGAATTGGTAACCTCTGTTTAAGGTAACGGAATCATTCTTCATATATGGAATTTCTAGCATTACTGGGAGGTACTCTGACCGAGGTATCCTATATCACTGTTTTGGTTTTATCTCTGAGCTCAACGGCTTTCTTACACAGACTTCTTCATTTATATACATGGCCCCAAAACTTTGTATAACAACAGAATATTAAATCACAAGTGACTGAGGTAAAAACATTTTTTGAGAAACTAGTATCAAGCAACACTACAGTATAAAATAAAGAAAAAGTAATCATATGGTAAAGATGCTTTACCTTATGTGCATCAATTAGAACAATGCCTCCTTTCTCAAGTGGTTCCTTTGTTCCCAATAACAATTTTCCATCAAAATATCCCACTGCAAATGGTCTGTCTTCACTGAACCAAGCAATGCAAGTTACAGACACTAACATGATAAAAACAAAATAAAAATTTAAAAAAGAAAATGAGAGACTCATTTGTCATTGTCTCACTTCAAAAGAGACTTTGCAAAAAATATATACCACTAAAACTACTGGAAGTAAGTTTACAAACATCTCTTTAATTCCTTAAGACAAAATGTAGGCTTAGAGCAAGGATTACATGCAACCCACTTTAAAGGTGTTATTTGTAAGTGACAAGGAGTATCTCATTTTTAATCTTTCATTCTTTTCAAGTGGTTACTGAAAAAGAAACAAAAATTGAATTCCCTTGCTGATTTTAAGTCATTTTAGGTTCTCTCCTTTTGGACCAGAATCTACCATGAAACTAACAAGTGAAATAATCCAACTCTTAAGTAAAAAATTACCTACCCTTTCTTTCGCTTAATATTGCCTATTCCGTGTGTTTGCATATTCTATCAAACATGTTACATTCTAACAATCTATATCGATATTTGTTTTAGTATATATAACACCAGAAGGCTACAAAAGAAGTAGAAAACAGTTTCTGTGGGAGTACAATGGGACATGGGAGTTGAGTAAATGTGAGAAAGACTTTGCACTGTATACCTTTTTAGTTCTTTTTTTTGCCATGCCATGTGGCATGTGGGACCTTAGTTCCCTGAACAGGGATCAAACCTGTGTACCCTGCAGTAGAAATACAGAGTCCTAACCACTGGACTGCCAGGGAATTTCCTAATGTATCTTTTTAAACTAAAATTTTTGAACCATATGATGGCATTATCTATTCGAAAAATCTAAAAAACAAAATGAAACAAAAAAACTCCCCCCAAAACCTGTTCTATTCTGTTAAAAGAGTACCACAGAAGCTGGGACTAGGATCTTTGAGATATCCTACTCCCCCAAATCACCTAACATAACTGTTCAGTATGATGCCGAGCCATCCAAAATGGAGAGAGTGAGAAAATAAGTGAAGGGCTTCCTAGTATGACTCTCAAATCAGGAACATCCCTCCCCTCCTCCTCCTTTCCTTAATTTCACACATTTGTTAACAATTTCATCTCCATCAATGGTTATTATCTTTTTTCCTCTTGGACATTCTTAACTTTCAAGGGAGACCTCAAGAGCACTGTAAGTGTTCAGACACTTACACAAAAGATTAACAGGAATTTAGGTCTTATTTTGGCAGTAATGTGTGGTAGGAGTTGATAGAGAACTATCTTTCAACCTAGCAGCTAACTAAAATGAAATACCAACTGGGCAATTTAGAAAACATAACCAAAAGTAATATTTACTCAGCATGTGCCAAAAAAGTATATCTAGTTGATTAGAGGAAATGCTTTCTCAACCAGATACAAGTCTAATCATTTACCATCCTTTCGATAGCAATGCTCCAGTTCTCGACGGTGCATGGTGGATACATCAACAACTTCAATCAGTCCTAGAGATCCATCCATCCGTCCCACCAACAACAATTCTGGAGACTCTCCTGACCAGGCTGTAGATGGACCCTCTTCTGGCCAAGCCAGAGCAGACACCCAGTGAGGCTGAATATCTACTAACCCTTTTCCTCCTAGAGAGGGAAAAAAATGTTAACTAGCTGTCACTTAATTCTTAAAAGCAATAACAAAAACAAGTACTATTTAACATGCTCAAAGCAGTTCCCAAATTCATAATAGCCTACTAATGAATACGACAGCGAAGCTGGGTCCTTCATTTCTGTACTACACTTGATTATCAAATTGAGTTTTTTTGTAACTATTAATAGCAAAAAGAGACAGCTTTTATACAAGAAAGAATAAAGGAAAATAATCAGTATACAAATGTCACTTAATTTTCCTAATAATTACTGAAAACCAAGTTAACATATGAAATTCATCTACAGCTAAGGCAGGCAATTCCTCAAATAAGCAAAAGCAAACAAAAATACTGGTAAGCCGAAGATTACAATAATAATTTTTATTTTCCAGAGCTGTATTAAAAATCAATAAGAGTTTGTACTTGTGAAAGAGACAAAATTAATAGAAATATTTCAACTGGTTCAAAAGAACACATATCTAGAAATGTAGTGATTGCTACTTGTCTAATCCTAGGCCGAATGCTGAGTGCTACATAAAAGGAATTTTTATAGTTTACAATTACCAGGTTAATTGAAACTCTTAGAAATAAAAGTCAGGAAATGAACACTCTTTAATTTAAATGATACTATGCATAGATTTCTACAGTTGGTAAATAGATTGAGATTCAAGGTGAAGGGAAGCCAATGTTTGAACTTAGAAGGCTAAGATTTAGTACCTTCAGTAGTTTACTAGTATTTATGTGACTCTTACCATTAACTTGCCAGATATTCACCATCTTTTCCAAAGCCCCAGCTAGGTATTTGCCACTGATACTCCAGGAAACAGGTGAGAAACTTGGATCACTGGGTGATCCTAGGCTTTCCTCAGCATCACCTTCCCTAGAATACAACAGATAATATGGAATTCTAATCCATCATCCAAAAGGAAACTAAACCCTAAATCTTAAAATAAGGGTTTTATATAGACCATAGTACATAAAGAGAGACTCTTACATTTCAAAAGCTTGGCTAGTAGTATTTGACAATCACATAATTGCTAGTGTTTGTCATAATGTGAAAATTGTAGAATTACAAAAGAGTTTTACTTAGACAATTCATCATTTAATGTACTACATAATTTGTCAACAAAGATATTCTGATTCTGCATGATTTATACATATGATTATTACTCAGGGAACACTGATTCTTGCTTGCCTAATAGCTAGGGAAGTTTTATACTTAGCTATAAAAATAGAAAAGATGCTACACTGTGCTACAGAAGAAATATCATTACTCTTAATTCCTAAATAATCCTTGAAGAATGATGGAAAATAAGCCTATTGTTTTGTAGAATTGAACATGTTAGCAGAGTAGACCTTGATTTAATTCTGAGTAAGTCCAGATACTGACAGTAATATTTTTATCTTCTAAATTCCTATCTAGCAGGACTTGGTGGTCCAGTGGTTGAGAGACCATCTGCCAATGCAGAGAACAGGGATTCAATCCCTGGCCTGGGAAGATTCTACATGCTGAGAGGCAACCAAGTTTGTGCAATGCAACTACTGAAGCCCCTGTGCCTAGAGTCTGTGCTCCGCAATGAGAGAAGTCACCACAATGAGATGCTCATGCACTGCAACTAGAGAGTACCCCCTACTCACCACAACTAGAGAAAGCCCACGCCCAGCAATGAAGACCCAGTGCAGCCAAAAGTTAATTAATTAATTAAATACTATCTTGCAAAAAACCAAAAACAACACACTGGAAACTGTTCTGAAATAAAAAATTGTAAAAAACTTTAGTGACAATTTGAGTATACTAACACAACCAAGATGAAGCATGTTTAGGATTCTCCTATTTTCAAATGTTACCCAAGGGAGCAACATCAATACTCACAATCTGTTGAACACACAGGTCTGTTGCAGGGAATACTGCTTCTTGGTGACATTCCACACCCGGATGGTGCCATCATTGCCACTTGTAGCCAAGAGTCCTTTTTTATTACACCAAACACAAGTCATTACCTAGAAAAGATAAAAAGTCCAGCAATATGTGAGCAAGTTTTAATTCAAATGATTCTGTAATCTGAAGTTCGATCAAATTAAAAATAAATCTACCATGAAATTATAAAAGTATCCATGTTATAAAATAATATGCACGGTCTAATTCTTTCTAATTGGCTTGTAAATACACACCTATATGAGATATACCTTTAAAATACTATGCCCAAACTCATTTGAATTATCTTAGGCTTGTTACAATCTTTACTAAACATGTTTGTTTAATTAAAAAATGTTTTTTAATCCAATAAAATAGAAGTATTCAATATGTTCTATAAAACAAATTACAAGACTAAAAAATGACTTTTAAATTGGAAAAGTAGAGGTCAGTCTTCAGTTCCTAAACTTCCCTTGTCACTGCTCAGGGGCCCAGTGGGTTAGATTAAAACAGTAGAGTCACTTTCTTCTCCTCTTGCACATATACGCTCTTATCTTTCGTGAGGTTATTCCTTTGCTTTTCTTCTCATTCCACATCTGATGTTCCCATTTGTATCAGGTTATATAGCATACAACATACACATGTAGAGAAAGGAGAGTCGGTAACTAGCAAATACTGATAATTTAGCACACACATGTGTGTGTGTATGAGAGAGAGAGACAGAGAAAGAGACATACACAGATACACATCCCATGATCTAAACTCTAAGCTCTTGGAGAACACAGAAACTATTTTATCTTAGATAAGGTGATCAACACACTTGAGGCTTAAAATACATACTCTGTTCTGATGCGCCTCCAACTTGATAAAGGAGCATTTTCTGAGATCTCCTCCCATATCAGCAAGTGTTTGTGGAATAGTTTGGTTGTCGCGGTCATGTGCGGCAAGAGTGCGCACAAGCTGTTGAGCAGCCCACTGCCTATGCTGTGAGGATAGCCTTGAGGAGAGGCAGCAGGCTGCCAGGGCATTAGCCAGCTCCAGAGGGCCTACAGCAGAAGGATCATAGGAAGGATGGGCATACAATTGGGCAGTTAAACCTGCTTAAACAAAACAATGAAATGATGCCCGGGTGAGAGCTGGTGGTGGTGAACAAACAAAAATGGGTTAACCCATCTTTTAAGAATTAGCACTTTTTCAAGCAATCATTTCACTAAGATATGCATACAAGTTATAAAGCACTTATCTCACATAAAATTCTATAATAAATCTGATTCACTGCAAATACACATTTATATACATTAATCAACAGTCTTTGCTCTAAGGATACACAGACTGAGAATAGAGCAGACATTAGTTTAAGGCCAAGGCAGAGCGAGCATGTCCTAAAAAATAAGTGTTTGGCTTTTGCTGCTCAAAAGTGATCTTAATAGCCAATCAAGGGCTGCCTTGATAGATCCAAAAGCCCATCTCTCTTGGCCAAATGGTGAAGAGAAGGGTACATAGTGTATTTAAGTAGTCCCTTCAAGTATATCATCTTAAGACAAAGAGAAAAACAGCACTACTTTATATAAATTATATTACGGAAACCTACTGTGATTATTATCTATGGTGACTCAAACCATAATCGAATAAAATAATCTAATTAAAAAAGACAAATTTGGTATATTTTCCTGTATTTACTTCCATGCACAATTATAAAGTATCCATGCACTTTTCTTATGATCTAACTTAACTACACATTGCTGAGGCACTCAGTCATGTCCAACTCTTGGCAACCCCATGGACTGCAGCACACCAGGCTTCCCTGTTCTTCATCTCCCAGAGCTTGCTCAAACTCATGTCCATTCAGTCAGTGATGCCATCCAATCATCTCATCCTATGTCATTCCCTTCTCCTGCCTTCAATCTTTCCCAATATCAAGGTCTTTTCTAGTGAGTCAGCTCTTTGCATCAGGTGGCCAAAGTATTGGGAGTTTCAGCTTCAGCATCAGTCATTCCAATGAAGATTCAGGACTGATATCCTTTACGATTGACTGGTTTAATCTCCTTGCTTTCCAAGGGACTCTCAAGTCTTCTCCAATGCCACAATTCAAAAGCATCAATTCTTCAGCCTTCTTTATGCTCCAGCTCCAAAGAAGTGCTCAGCCTTCTTTATGGTTCAACTCTCACATCCATACACAACTAATGAAAAAGCCATAGCTTTGACTAGACGGACCTTTGTTGGCAAAGTAATGTCTCCACTTTTTAACAGGCTGTCTAGATTTGTCATAGCTTTTCTTTCAAGGAGAAAGCGTCTTTTAATTTCATGGCTGCAGTCACCATCTACAATGATTTTGGAGCCCAAGAAAATAAAAGTCTGTCACTGTTTCCCCATCTATTTGCCATGGAATGATGGGACCAGACACCATGATCTTCATTTTTCGAATGTCGACCTTTAAACCAGCTTTTTCACTATCCTCTTTCACCTTCCTCAAGAGGCTCTTTAGTTCCTCTTTGCTTTCTGCCATAAGTGTGGTATCATCTGCATATCTGAGGTTATTAATATTTCTCCCAGCAATCTTGATTCCAGCTTGTGCTTCATCCAGCCCAGTATTTCACATGATGTACTCTGCATATAAGTTAAATAAGCAGGCTGTGACAATTTACAGCCTTGACGTACTCCTTTCCCAATTTGGAACCAGTCTGTTGCTCCACGTCCAGTTAACTGCTGCTGCTTGATCCGATACAGGTTTCTTAGGTGACAGGTAAGGTGGTCTGGTAGTCTCATCTCTTTAAGAATTTTACACAGTTTGTTGTGATCCACACAGTCAAAGGCTTTGGCATAGTCAACAAAGTAGATGTTTTCTGGAGCTTTCTTATTTTTTGATGATCCAACAAATGCTGGCAATTTGATCTCTGGTTCCTCTGCCTTTTCTAAATCCATCTTGAACACCTGGAAGTTCACAGTTTATGTACTGTTGAAGCCTCGCTTAGAGAATTTTGGACATTACTTTGCTAGCATGTGACATGAGTGCAACTGTGCAGTAGTTTCAATATTCTTTGGCATGGCCTTTCTTAGGGATTAGAATGAAAACTGACCTTTTCCAGTCCTGTGGCCCCTGCTGAGTTTTCCAAATTTGCTGGCATATTAAGTGCAGTACTTTCACAGCATCACGTCTTAGGATTTGAAATAGATCATCTGGAATTCCATCACCTCCATAGCCTTGTCACAGTGGTGCTTCCTAAGGCCCATTTGACTTCAAATTCCAGGATGTCTGGCTCTAGGTGAGTGACCACACCATCAAGGTTATCTGCGTCATGAAGACCTTTTTTGTATAGTTTTTCTGTGTATTCTTGCTACCTCTTAGTAGTATCTTCTGCTTCTGACAGGTCCATCCCACTTCTGTCCTTTATTGTTCCCATCTTTGGGTGAAATGTTCCCTTGGTACCTCTAATTTTCTTGAAGAGATCTAGTCTTTCCAGTTCTACTGTTTTCCTCTATTTCTTTGCAATGATTACTGAGGAAGGCTTTCTTATCTCTCCTTGCTATTCGCTGGAACGCTGAATTCAGATGGGTATATCTTTCCTTTCCTCCTTTGCCTTTTGCTTCTCTTCTTTTCTCAGCTATTTGTAAGGCCTTCTCAGACAACCACTTTGTGCTTTTGCATTTCTTTTTCTTGGGGATGGCTTTGATCACCACCTCCTGCACGATGTTATCAACCTCCAACCACAGTTCTTCAGGCACTCTATCAAATCTAATTCCTTGAATCTGTCACTTCCACCCTATATGTTGTTATATAATTCATCACATATAACAATGCAGAAACATTTTAAAAAACAAATATTGAATTGATTAAAAGACTATATTTAAATCATATGAAACTTACCTTTCTTTTCAACTTCTGACTTATCATAATTAGGTCTTAGTTTGGCCCCTTTGTCTGCTAGTAATGCCACAAGGGCCTGAGTTACAACAAAATTTGGGGAGGTTACAAGCTTATTCTCTTCAGCAATTCCTCGGAGAAAGCTAGGTAGAAACTTTCGCTGAATTGGATCATCAACTGTGGTTAGATTTACACCTGTTGCAGCAGAAATCAAGTTCTGAAGAGGCAATCAGAACAAACACATTTAATTTTTAATTTTGGAAAAGAGGCTTTTTACTTCACAAGTTTCCTTAAGAATTGGTTGGAAATAAGCAATACAATAAGAAAAGCACTGAAAACTATCCTACCTGTGTACACAACTGCACCAGGAGCTTTGCAGCACTAGGAGTGTTTGATGCTAGACATCCCACTGCTGTGCTCAGATAGGCCAGGCAAGAAATGGGCTTGTTGGCCTTGCTGTGCCCACCTCGTGAACGTTCTGAAGTGCTTGCCATGGCAGAAGGACTAGTGGAGAGGCCAGCTCTCCCTGCTGCAGCCAAGCACATTAGTCGAACCAAAGTCCGGATATCTGTAAGCCCTAGAGATTCAAGACCAGCAGCCAGGCTACAACTGGAACCACTGCCAGAAAAAGAACACACTTTAGATACATAAAGAAAATAGATTTAAGCAACCATTTGGAGCCCCACATACAATCCATGGCACCAACAACCAAAATAAAAGGCAAGTTGCACTATCCTAGTCATACATGCCCTACTGTATGTACGTATGTAAGAGATGTCCTAAAATAAAAACCTTGAAACTGTTATTGAGACTTTTATTTAATAAATATTGACATACACTTAAAGTATACCTGAATTATCAAAGTATAATTTAGAGGAATGTTCATAAACCACGAATTTTCACAAACTGAACCAACCTATGTAACCACCTTCCAGATCAAGAAACAGAACACTCCAACACCCCAGAAGACTAGTTGGGCCCTTCTCAAACTCCAGGACCTCAAAAATAACTACTATCCTGATGTTTAAGGCCATAAATCAGTTTTGCCTGTTTTTGAACTTCATATAGATAGGATAATAAAGTGTGTATTCTCTTATGTCTGGCTTCTTTTGTTCAACATTATGCTTGTAAGTTTCATCCATGCTGTTGCATTATTAGCAGCAGTTATTCAGCAGTTATTCATTTTCATTGATACATAGGCATAGCATGGAGATGTGGGTTCAGTTCCAGACCATGACAATAAAATGAATATTGCAATTAAGAAGGCCAAACTTTTTTGGTTTTCCAGTGCATATAAAAGTCATGCTTACACTATACTGTAGTCTGTTAAGGGTACAACAGCATTATGCCTAAAAGAACAATGTATTAATATATATAGCTCAATTTAAAAATATTTTAATGCTAAAAAATGTTAAGCTTCCATCTAAGCTTCCAGTAATCTTTTCGGAACAGTAACATCAAAGATCACTGATCATAGATCACCATAACAAATATGATAATAATGAAAAAGCCTGAAACAGTCCAAGAATTACCAAAATGTGGCACAGAGACATGAAATGAGCAAATGTTATTGGAAAAATGGTGCCAACACACTTGTTCAACTCAGGGCTGACACAACCTTCAATTTGTTAAAAAAAAAAAAAACAAAAAACTAATATCTGCAAAGCACAATAGAGTGCAATAAGAAAAGATATGGCTGCCTATATAAATGAAATTTACCACAATTCATTTCTCTATACAGATGAGGGCATGGGGCTATTATGAACAGCACTGCCATGAATGTACTTTCCCACATCTTTGGGAATACATATGTAAGCACATCTGTTGGACATATACCCAGAAGTGTTTTTCTGGGTCAGAAGTACATTAATACTTGCTTTCAGCTGGTACTATCTAAGAGTTTTCCAAAGTAACTATCCTAATTTATTTTTGCACTAGCAGTGTATGAGAGGTCTAGATGTTTCACATCCTCATGATCACTTTTCTCCCCTCAGTCTTTTAAATTTTAGCCATTTTGATGGGTGTGTAGTCACATCCTACTTTCATTTCTCTGAAGAGTAATGGGGCTGAACATTTTTTTGTTCATGTTTATTGACCATTTCAAGATCTTTTATATTATTTTGTATTGTGTCCATTTTTCTTTTTCTCTTACTGGTTTGTAAGAATACTTTATATATTTTGTTGGTTATATGCATTGCTAAGATCATCTCCCATTCCAGGGCTTTTTTTTTTTTTTTAACTTTCTGACTTTTTACTTCCTAAATGACTTCTGCTAAACAAAAGTTCTTTTTTAATGTAGTCCAATTTATCAATTTTTTTCCTTTAAAGTGAATGCCTTTTGTGACTTAAGAAATCTCTGCTTGTTCCAAGATCAAGAATAAAATCTTCGTTATCTTACAGAAATGTTACTGATTTATGTTTTACATTTAGACCATAAAGTCACTTGAAAATCCTGGCTTTATATATAGTTTGAGGTTGGAGCCAAGACTCATTTTTTTGCCTAAGTGAATAAACTATCTGACCTAGCCCAAGTTATTGAAAAGATTATCCTTTCCTCATTGGCTCTGCAATGTAAGCATTGTCATAAATCAAACTATAAATCAAATGCTAATCTACACGTATGAGTCAGTTTCTGAAGTTCATTTTCCATAGACCAAACTGTCTATTCTTGAGCCAACATCATATAGTCTCATCTAAATTTTGAGTTTCTTTCAGGGTCCTTCTGTCTTCGTTGATTTACTGTTAAATATTTCTATTTAATCATTTCTTAAATGGGTGTCTTTTAGGTATTCTTGGTTCACTTCCCTTTTTTAACATTACACTCCACAGTATGAACACAACAGGAGCCTCCACAATACACAGGCTGACTTAGCTATACAGTTGGTAAACTCTGCAGAAAAACTCGCTCAACCTTCAAGTTTTACCCTACACCAAATGGATCAATGGTCTTAGTTTCCCATTTCAGATAATAAAATGTTTGCAGTTAACTCAGTTACTATAACGGCAGTATTTTTTGCCTAAAAAGACCCAAACATTAACTGAATGACTGACTGACTGGATAAATAATAATGGTGACTATTGGCTAATTTCTTTCATTCAACAGTAGTTATTCAAGTTTCTAAAACTTCTATTTCTTCTTCCCAAACAACACCAGACTCCTGTCCAATATGTACCAGAAGCTAACTTAGCATCTTTTGACACAAAAGAACACTTACCTGACTGAGAGAAGAGACAGAGCTCTCATGACCATGGTTCTGGCCAGAAGAACCTGAGCAGCAGCCGTCACTCTCCTTAAAGCAACCACCCGGTCATGAGGATTTGCTAAGGCAGCTGCCTGTTCACCCAATGTTATTCTCCCAGAGGAACTCTTTTCTACAGAGCCATGGCAACCTGAAAAATGTAAGATTTTGTTCAGTTTTCAAGAAAGTAAGGAAAAAAATAGCCAAACTACTGAAAAATTTTCCCTAGGTAGCTAGGTTCTAGGCTACTAGGAAATAAAGCAAATAAATGTATTTTGCTCATCCATAAAACTTTGTTATACAGAAAATGGTTAGGGAGAAAGAGATATTTCTAAGTCAATAATTAATTATAGGAAAAATACGATTCTTGAATTTTTCTGGTTTTATTTATTTTTGCTCATGTATTTCTTCCACTGATATTAACAAATATAGAAAAAATATAGTTTTAAAAATATGCTTTGAGTACATATTTAGTATTTCATAAAGTAAAATGTCACCCAAATTAAAAAATACTACAAAGTAGTTTTTGTTTCCAGGTTTCTCTTAACACAAAGTTAAAAAAAAAAAACAACTATGCATTTTATAAATTCTTTTTATCACTTGAATATTTTATAAAAACAAAAGAATCAGAAGTTAATATTGCATTATACCTTCAAAACATTAAAATACCTGGCTAAAGATAGTTGATGGGATAGAAAATATTGAACTCATTATTATTAACCTCTACCTTTATTATTTACTTTTCTAAGAAGCAAATTAATATAGACTCTATAAAATCCATGACAATCAGCATTACAAGTTTACCTATTTGCATCAGAGTCTCTTCCATACTGTTTGTTGCTGTTACCATTGCTACTGATGCTCCTAATGGATCACTGTCAGGGAACTGAACTGGTTCTGGTACAATGCGGCGGTCGTTTAAACCAAGAGGGCCAGCAAGTAATTCAAACTCTTCTTCACCTGTTAGCTTTTCATCTTCATCAACATCCAACATGTCCCAGTCTTCTGGAGTTTAAATAAAGAAATGGATGGTATGTAAATATAAACACGACACAACCCTGCTGGCAATGGTTATTGTGAGATAGGTCTAAGATGCACATGGATTGAAAGCCTAGTCAGTGCCTACAAAATAAAATATAGCACCATCTCCTGGTGACCCAACTAAACTGCACCCTGGAGTCACAGTGGGACTAAGGGAAACGGAGTGACAGCAAATCCATTTAAACCAATAGCACATGTTACAGTTGGTCATGGAGGTTTCAACCAAAAAAAAATATTGTTATGGGGCCAACAAGGAGTAATTGACCCTGTCCATGATCATTAGGAAATGAGTTATTCCAAATAAAGGAATGCTCCAGATAAACTGATGCTTCTTTATTATTTTACTTTCCACAATTAGGATGAAAATTCAAAATGTATTAATACTTCATACTTTACCTACTTTGAAAAAATATACATGCCACACAGAAATTAACATTCTGTGGGAAAATATTAGAACCCAGGTATTTTTCCCTTGAGTTTTAAAACTAGGGCTATTGCTATCATACTATCTTTAACCTTTGGGGGGAAGTTTAAGTTGACGTGTATGTAAATACACAGAAACATATGAAGGTTAAGTTTTAGTAACAGATGTTAAGTAGAAGGTATATACAAAAATACATGTGACATAAAGAGGTTCTCAAAACAACTACCTTCATACACACTGTCCTGCTTGCCAATAAGATCTGGAGCTTGTCCTTTGTACCTGCACCAAACACAAAGAACATTGTGTCTTCATATAAAACAATTATTACTCCAAAGTGAAAATTATGTCATTAGGACATTTTAAAAGGTCATTAATAAAGCAACACAAAATAAAAAAGTATGTTTTATGTTATGGAAAGTGAAAGTGTTAGTCGCTCAGTCATGTCCGACTCCTTGCAACCCCATAGACTGTAGCTCGCCAGGCTCCTCTGTCCATGGGATTCTCCAGGCAAGAATACTGGAGTGGGTTGCCATTTCCTCCTCCAGGGGATCTTCCCTACCGAGGGATTGAAACTGGGTCTCCTGTGTCTCCTGCATTGGCAGGTGGGTTCTTTACCACCAGGTGCCACCTGGGAAGTCCCTTCATGTTATGGGCTAATGTAATAAAAACTATTGGTATGTAGGTGTTTACAAAATCAGTGATTATTTTATCAAATAACTGTGGAGGTTTCTGGGTGACCAACATAAATCTTTTTTTCCCCAATTTATTTATTTATTTTTGGTTGCACTGGGTCTTCATTGCTCCATGTGGGCTTTCTCTAGTTGCAGTGAGTGGGGGCTACCCCTCACTGCAGTGCACGACCTTCTCACTGCAGCGGCTTCTCTTGTTGCAGAGCACAAGCCCTCGAGTGTTCAGGGTCTAGCAGTTGTGGCACATGAGCTTCAGCTGCTCTGCAGCATGTGGAATCTTCCTGAACCAGGGATTGAACCCATGTTCCCTGCACTGGCAAGTGGATTCTTAACCACTGGATCAGCAGGGAAATCCCCTACATGAATCTTTTAACCAAAGCCTATTCCAGAACACTTAAAGGGTTTTAATAGTTGACAGTAAGGGCAAAAACCTACTCATTAGCAAATTAATTGCTATTTAGGAATATAAAGAAGTAATATTTTCATGGAAGCTTGTTTAATCTAAATAGTCTATTTTTTTAAATCAAGAAACAAGATCTTAATCAAGATGTCAAAAATATGGTGAAAAACACCAAAGGAAAAAAAGGAACAAAAGCCTCCTGAAGGTTAAAGCAAGGTTAACACAATTTGTTAACAAATTTAAGATTAATACAGTCAAACTCCAGTGAAGGACCTGAGACCATACCACTGTTCCCAGACTATACACTGCCACCTCTGGCAGGAACTTGAATTCTTCCACCTCCCTCATCCCTGTATCTAATTCAGCAATCATAGGACTTTATAAAGGAAATAAATAAAGTGAGAGTGAACTCGCTCAGTTGTGTCCGACTCTGTGCGACCCCGTGGACTGTAGCCTACCAGGCTCCTCCATCCATGGGATTCTCCAGGCAAGAGTACTGGAGTGGGTTGCCACTTCAGGTAATTCCTCACACGAAGAAAACTACAATCCCCATGTCTTAATGAGAGATACTTTTAAATACTTCAGCCAGAGGGTCTGGATATTATCTACACAATTTCAAGGTACCTTTCAGAACTTGTTGCCTTGGATTTGGTCTTCAGGGCTAAGTACTTTTCCCTGCAGCTGCCACACAGCAGGTAGTATGGATTTCCACTTCCACATTCACCACCGAACCAGCCATCCACATAGGAGCCGTTGCTGCGATAGCCCTGGCGGTTTGCGCTGCGCCCGCAGCCTGGGTGATTTCTCTTCATGTGCTGATTGAAGTTGATGACACTGCATTCACACAGCTCACACACCACCACTTCTTCCCTGTCTTCAGACTCACAAACATGCTGCACAAAATGATTTCATATTACATGATTAGTCAAGTTAACATAAAATTAAGAAGAGGTAAACAGATCATTTATATTAAACTACGTGTTTACATATGCTGGAATATCTGCAAGATGTTCATCAAAGCTATAACAAATCAAAATTCAGATCACACAGTCTGAAGGTGTTCTTTGCCCCTTCCTCACACTAAGTGACAATAAAAGTAACTGACTATAGTACTGAGAAAAAAATTATTAATAAAAACAATCTGTCTCATCTCAATTATTTAAAATCCCTCCAATGAAAACTTATCTGATCATAACATGCATATCTATTTTCTGAACTTCTAAGAAGTCATTAGATTAATTTATCTTATTAAGTCAATATGGTATATTATCTTCCCTATAAAACTTACACTTGTGAACTCAGTTTCCCTGCTACAAAAAGTGTAATGCTAAACAATGTAAACATACAAACCCACCATGTACCCTGCCCTTTGATGGACATATTTACAATATCTAGGAGGCACTGGCTCCTAGAATGAGGCACTACAGTGATTAAACAGAACCTATGAAGGAGAAGAGCATGCATTCAATAGCGGGATAAGCACAGCAGCCATGTTGAATACCCAGCAGAGTTGATTGGGATCTGATGCTTATTTTGTAATCTATCTTAGATATTAGAATCAAATGATCACAATATGGCTCTATTCATCTAGTATGGGGAGAGAAGCAATAAAATCGCACAGAGAAAGCAACAAGAGAGACTTTTTCTTATTAGATTGTAGGTATCAAAGTAACCTCAAGTGTTAGAGCCCCAAACTTCAGGATGAGATGTCAGACTTTTCAGAGTGTTACAACTCTAGGCAAGGCTGTTATTAGTAAGCTGTATGAACAGGAGGGCAGGAAAGTAAGTCAGAGCAGCCCCCGCTGCAGTCACACACACCCAGGTAGGCCAATCCAGTACCTCTGGGATCCACATTCCCAGAATATCATTGTCACTGGTCAGGTCTTGTCCAAACATAGCTTCCATCGCTTCATCATCAAGATCAATTTCCAATTCCTCATCTAAATTAAAGTCATACAACGCCCCTGGGTCTTGTTGCAAAGATATTCCTTCTCTCCGACTTTGATTCCTGTGGGCCTGCACAGAGCGGTATAACCCCGCTCAGAACAAAACAAGAAAGGCATTTATTTGCATGTATAAAATAATTCTAAATATTTCGCCAGTTCTTAACTGCCGTACAACGCAGGTTAAGAGCCTATCTCAGCTGACTTACTGGACTCCAAATCATAAACATAAAACTTTACCTATCGTATGTGCTGCTTCTTCTGTGAAATGGGGATAATAGCATTCATACCTTGCATAGTTGCTGATAGGTTTAAATAAGATAGTCCATGTAAAATATTTCATGAAGTTTGTCATACAGAAGAGCACTAAATAAATGTGGGCTGTTATTATCCTTTCAGTTTTTTTAAAATCAGTCTCTTTCACTATATATTAAATATACACCCTATATGTTCTAGGACAGTCTCAATGTCTCTGTTCCTATAAACTACTGAATCATTATTTATGTTTTAAGAATTCAAGGATTAAACTCTGCTTTGACAAAAAATATATTCTAGATTTCAGTTTGGAAAATATATTCTCTATAACTTATATTTCATATGCCAAGTACATAATTTTCAAAATATTTGCTAATGTAACAAAAAAATAAATCTTTGCTTATCCAGGGCCTTACCTAGGTGAAGCCCTGAAGTCCACAAAGTACATCAGAAAAGCCAGTGCCTACTTGGCACAGAACTCTTTCTAGTTCCTTCTCACCTGTGATGTCTTAAACATGTATTTTCACTTCTTAAATTATGTTTCTTGAGGGCAGAGAGAGCATTTATGAAATTTCTCAATATCTACAAGTGACTACTAAAGCCTTCTGCATCCAGAGGGAACTTAAAAACAAATTTATGAATGTATGCTGTGATTTAAATTAAATAAAATTATATAAATGCATAGAAAGTAATATGCAAATAGTTACTCTTTGAATGTGGAGGTACTGAATATTTAGTATTATTAATCTACATCTTCTTTAATGTTTCTTTTACATTGACTTTAAAATATAAACAAACTATATAATACTTTCACCAAGAGAAGGATGTGAAACATATACTTACCTGCTCTTGCTAGCAATGTTCGAGCAGCTAAATCAAACTTGTGCCTTCTTGTTACTGCTGAGCGACCCCTAGCTGGTGGTCCACTTCCAGAAGCTGTATTCTCTGCATGATCCAGATTATCAGCACTAAAAGTGCAAGTTTGAAAGCAATGCACATTTTAAAAAATCATCATGAACAGAAAACACAGGTACTAACTTGGTTGCAGTACGTTTTCCTCCAAGTATTATCAAGAACAATATGTTTATGATAAAATTTTGAAATATATCTTTCATGCTTGGCAAGGTTCCTAAGTTATAAATGTCATATTGCTCTGAGCAGTAATGTTATCTGATTTTGAAATATACCAACCATGAAATTATGCTTAATACAAGTTTAAATTCAAATGAGGTCAATAGCCTTAAATAAATCTTAAATGATTATATACTTAAAATCTGAAATGACTGGGAATCCTTGCCTTGGAGCAACAGATATTTCAAAATAAGCTATGGAAATATTCACTGAGCTTGTCAGAAAAAGCCTGCAGATTAATATAAGACACAAGCCCCAATATGACTTCATGAACTAAAATGAAATGAAGATTTAAAGTTATAAGAAGGGCTGAATAAGGAGCATTTTAGAAAGAATTACAGAATAGTTTTTACATTTTATTTTTAATTGCATGATAATTGCTTTACAATGTTACGTTGGTGTCTCCATTTCTTTTCAGGCTAGGCATTATTACAGAATTTGTTTTGCAACTTTAAAAAAGGGTGTATTCACTGAGGAAACCAGATCTGAAAGAGACACGTGCACCCCAATGTTCATCGCAGCACTGTTTATAATAGCCAGGACATGGAAGCAACCTAGATGCCCATCAGCAGACGAATGGATGAGGAAGCTGTGGTACATATATACCATGGAATATTACTCAGCCATGAAAAAGAATTCATTTGAATCAGTTCTAATGAGATGGATGAAACTGGAGCCCATTATACAGAGTGAAGTAAGCCAGAAAGATAAAGACCATTACAGTATACTAACACATATACATGGAATTCAGAAAGATGGTAACGATAACCCTATATGCAAAACAGAAAAAGAGACTCAGATGTATAGAACAGACTTGTGGACTCTGTGGGAGGAGGCGAGGGTGGGATGTTTCAAGAGAACAGCATAGAAACATGTATATTATCTAGGGTGAAACAGATCACCAGCCCAGGTTGAATTCATGAGACAAGTGCTCGGGCCTGGTGCACTGGGAAGACCCAGAGGGATCGAGTGGAGAGGGAGGTGGGAGGGGGGACCGGGATAGGGAATACATGTAAATCCATGGCTAATTCATTTCAATGTATGACAAAAACCACTGCAATGTTGTAAAGTAATGAGCCTCCAACTAATAAAAATAAATGGAAAAAAAAAAGGGTGTATTGCATTGGATATTAAAAACTAAAGATGAGATGAAAATATAAACCTATATTAAAAGACATAAAGATTTCTACTGAATCCACTTCTATTGAATGCATTAAATCAATTATATAAAAATGAACATTCTAGTTATTTAACATATAATAATATTTTATCAACATGTTTATTTTATTTCAGAATAAACAGTTTTTAGTTTGTTCTTTTCAGCAACTTTATACTAAAATTATTTCCTTATTTTCATAAAAATATCATTCAAGTCAAGATCTGTCATGTCATTTTTACCCTTCACATAAACATAAACTTGTAACTGAAATGTCCATCTTTTCATATATCTCTAGTTATCAACTTTATACATTGGAAGCACCTATGAAGGAACATAAGTGGGGCTCTTGAGGCACCATTTATAACACATAGAACAGGAATATGGAAATTGGAATTTCACCTTTCACTAAAGCCTTCCTCCATTTCAGCAGCATCAGCTGACGGTATGTCTCCTGGTGACTGCAAATAACAGGGATCATTTGACTTCCCACCACTGCCTGCAACTGCTGCTCCGTGCCTTGAGTCAGCTGTGCTGCCTGACTGGGGCTCCTCCTCATCTTCGTGCCCAGGGTGCTCTATCATCCACATGGCAAGGACGGTGATGTTCTGGGCATCAGCCTCGCCTCGAGCACCTGAACGGGTGGAAAAAAGGTCTAATATTGACTTTGGGCAAAATAATTATTTCTGCTATCAGTTTAAGAGTGCCTGCTATGATGCAACTATAATTAAATCTTGTATTAAAAATCTTATCAAGCTTTATGGCCTCTTAAAAAACATATCGCCCTTAATAAAGATGATATTTCTCATATCTGCACATACTGATACTTAAAATTACAGTACCTGTGGCTTCCATGGCTTTCGCAATCTGCCGGAGAGAGAACCCCATTTCTAACAAGGGTACTGCAATCGCTGGAGGAGGAGGAGAAGTTGAAAGTCTACTGCTTGGGTCTGACAAGGCTGAAACAAAAGAAAGAGAGGTAAAGTCCTAAGTATCACTATATACCACGAGTAAAAAGTGTTCCTTTAGTGACCATAATTCTCAATTTTCTTAATACTGTCCAAATTTAATGAAATGTTAAAAAATTCACTAATTAAATGTGATTAAGTTTGATAGAGCTTCTTAAGGTTTTTCTTAAAGATAAACCAGCTATTATGAAATAAACCTGCTGAAAACAATGGTTAATATTTTCTTTTTTAAAAGTTTCCTATTTACAAAAAATTTTTAATTTTACAGAAATTTTAAAGAATAGTACAAAAAATTCTTTTACTCCTGAACCACTGGAGAATAAGTAAAAGACATAATGTTCCATTTTCCCTGAATATACTAATATATCACTCCTACAAATAACAACATTCTCCTGCATAACCACAATGCAACTATCATAGTCAGGAAATTCACAATTATCATCTAATCCAGATTCTAGTTTCAAGGAAAGTCCTGATGTTTTTCACAGCAAAGGATCCTGTCCAGGATAATCTTTACATTTAATTTTTCATGTCTCTTCAGCCTCCTTTAATCACTTTGATATTTAGAAGATTCCAGGCCAGCTACAGGGTAGAAAGTCCCTCAATCTGGTATCTGCTATTTCCTCATGACTAGATTCAGGTTGTGCTTTTTGGCAGGAGTATCACAGAACTGATGTTGCCTTCTTACTGCATTCTATTAGATGGTCCATGATTTTATTTTGTCTCATTACTGATGATGTTAACTTTGATTACTTGAGTTAAGCTGGTATCTGCCAGGTTTCTCCACTGTAAAGTTAACTCTTTCTTTTCCTTTGTAATTAATAAGTATTTGTGGGGAAGAAACTCGGAAAATATGTAAATATCTTATTCTTCATCAAAGTTTCACTAAGCATTTATTATGTTGGGGTTTCCCTGGTGGCTCAGACAGTAAAGAATCCACCTGCAATGGTAGAGACCCAGGTTTGATCCCTGGGTCAGGAAGGTCCCTGGGAGAAGGGAATGACTACCCACTTCAGTATTCTTGCCTGGAGAATCCCATGGACAGAGGAGCCTTGTGGGCTCAGTCCCTGGGGTTGCAAAGAGTTGGACGAGCCTGAGTGACTAACACTTCCACTTTCATTTGTTTACTGGCTGAATTAATTATCATTATGATAGCTGACAAATGATGGTATTTTAAAGTCCACCAGTGCTTTCAGATTCATCAGTTGGTATTCCACTCTAAAGCAAAGCTCCTCCTTTTTCATATGGTTATGGATTCTTATTGCATTCACAACTTATTATCTGTTAGTATAATTATTGTTTTTTATGTCCCAAATCTCCCAGATATGGCCAGTGGATGCCCTTCCATTCTAATTTCTATGTCCTTCAGGCCTGTGCCCATCATCCTCTGAGTATTTCACCACTTTGTGGCACAAGCCATTCTACACTCATCTCATACTCAGACCTGAAGTGCCACTTCTCTCAGAAGATCAAGGTTCCTTCTTATACAGAACAGTACTTAGAAGACAGGACTTTGGCACTAGGTGTGTGTACTGCTATTGAAGCATCACTGCGCCAAGGCGCTCTCAGTGGACATTTGCCAGTGGAGGCCCTCTTCAACCCACCTGGCTCTGACACCTAGTGCCAGACCGTGAGGACACTTCCTCACCCCAGCTGGACTCAAAAGCTCTCTGCCAGGCCACTCCACACACACAAGTTTTTTTCCCCCAAATCTGTCTCTGACAACCCACTCTGGTCTACCATGCCACACACCTCCCTTACCCTGCTGGCATGAATGCCTGCCTAGACTGGCCTCACTTAACAGCTTTTGAATTGGATTAGTAAGGAAGAAGGGAAGGAGGGAAGACTATAATTCTTATTTTTGCTTAGAAAAAAAGTCATTACTGCTACAGTGGTGATAGCCCTGATGTATCTGTTGAAGTTCACCCTCTTGCCATGAAAGATAACAAAGGCTAGATTTACCCTCACCTTAAGCAACTAAAAAAAAAGACAAAAATCATCAAATAGTCTGCAGATGAATAGGCAGTGTGGGACAGGAATCCCTGAAAGAAGGGAATTAAATGAGGCAACGTGTAAAACTGCCTTAGCTTACGGCCTGGAAAAAATTTCCAAACCTGCAGATCAGGGAAGGCAAATTCAAGCTAAACTTAGGGGTCTCTCTGAATGGTGGCGACAAAGTACAGATTCAAAGGTGGCTAGAATGAACAGGGTAGGACACCAGATACCAGGATAGGATACTCTTTTCATCGGTGTGAAAAGAAGAGAGCTACACAGAGAACTCCAGAAATGTGCAGAGGGTCCTCGTCACCTCAAGCCTTCCAGCTAATGCTAATACAACAACTATCCAAAGTCAGGGAAAGAATCACCCAGAAGCAGCAAGCAGAACAATCCTTAGAGCTCACATAAGGTTGAGAAGCATTTGTGTTACAACAAGCCAGAATGAAAAAAAAACTGTAATAATGAGGCATAAAGCACTGGATAGAATACTAAACAAACTGAAGGTTGTCCTGGTCTCACCTAACAAAGCTTAAAAGGAAGTCTTGAAAGAATCCAATTGTTTTCAAGTTACTTAACTGTATTCTAGAACAAAGTTAAATTACAGAAGTACAAAATATCTAGCATTCAACTAGGTAAAATTCACAATGTCTGGTATCTAATAAAAAGTTACCAAACATGCAAAGAATCAAGAAAGCACAATTCAAAATGAAGAGATAAATTAGTTACTAGAAACAGACCTATAAATGAGAGAATTGATAAATTAAGTACAACAGATATTAAAACAGACACCATAAATACAGTTGACTCTCATTTGTGGATTCCATATCTGCCAATAATTTACTCATTAAAATTGATTTATAACTCCAAAATCAATACTCACGGCACTTTCACAGTCACTCACATGCACAGGATGACCAAAAGATTCAGTCTCCTGATGCATTTATTCCAGCTAAGGTCACACAAGGTGATGCTGTGTATTCTTGTTTCAGTTTTTCAGACTATAACAAGTATCCTTTTTCATGTCATTTAGTGTAACTTTTTTTTTTTGCATGTTTTGTGCTTTTTGTTGGCGATTTCATTGTTTAAAATAGCCTCCAAGTATAGTATTGAAATGCTGTCTAGTGTTCCTAAGTGCAAGAAGGCTACAATGTGCCTTATGGAGAAAATATATGTTAAGCTTCACACAGGCATGAGTTAATAGTGTTCCTGGCCATGAGTTCAATGCTAATGAATCAACAATACATTATATTAAATATGGTGCCTTTAAATTGAAACACACATAAAATAAGGCTGTATTTTGATCCGTTGACAAGAGTGTGATCAGAAGCTCGCAAAAAACTAGCCCTGTATTTTCACCAGAAATAGTGGTTCCGTTTTTGCTAATTCTGTGTTCACAGAACATAACTGTTCTAATAATGAGAACTGTTATTCCATGTATTCCATAAGGGAGAGGAAAGACAGAGTATGTTAAACAGACATGGAAAATTTTAAAAAAATACACAAAAACTTCTAGAAATCTACAATATGAAGGGAAAAACACACTGAATTTCCCAAGACCTTTGGGTGCTTCCCTGGTGGCTCATATGGTAAGGAATCTGCCTGCAATGCAGGAGACCTGGGTTCAATCCCTGGGTCAGAAAGATACCCCAGAGAAGGGAATGGCTAATCACTCAAGGATTCTTGCCTAGAGAATTCCATGGACAGAAAAGCCTGGTGGGCTACAGTCCACAGGGCTGCAAAGAGTCGACATGACTGAGCACCTAACACTTACAATTTCTCTATAAAAAAGGCATAATTCAATCTACAGCTTCAAAATAGAGAAGACAGCTCAGTTTGATGAGGAAGATTCCCTTTAATTAAAAGCACTGTTTTACCAGAAAGAAACTCAAAGACTTAGAAAATGAACTTACAGTTGCCAAGAGGAAGGGACAAGTTAAAGAGTTTGGGATGTCACTATTTAAAATGGATAACTAACTTGGGAGAAAAAGATGGCAGAGGAGTAGGTGGACGTGGAGTGTATCTCTCTACACAGATACATCAGGAATATACCTTCAGATATAGAAGAGCACACAGAACACCAGCTGAAAAGAGATGGGAGTACCTGACCAGCTGAAAAGAATACATGGAACCATGCAAAACTCAGTAGGTTGAAGGAACTAGGGGGGAAAACAGGAGAGTTAGTAGGACTGGACCTGCCCTCAGCGGGTTGGGAAACTGAAGCAGGGGTCCCATACCCACATCAGGGCAATTGTCTGAGTCAGAGAAGAAACATCTAAGGCTGAGAGTGAAACAGCTCATCTGTGGCAGCCTAAAGGGAATGAGAATCAGACAGTCCTTGCCTCAGCGATACATAACCAGGACAGGGACGCAGGTCCCCTGGAAGGCATGGAAGCTGGGAGCTGGAGTTTAGGGACTGTGGAGGAATGTAAGGGTGAGGGCTGCTACTGACTGCAGAGAGACGGATCGAGGGGAGGTGAGAGAGGACACTGTGGTGGGAATTGCCTGAGGAGCAAAGGTGGGCAGCCATGGAAGCAAGGCAATACTGCTGAGTCATGTGTAGGGGATGGAACCATCACCATAGCCTCTTTCCCCCCTCACGCCAGCAAGGGCAGCTGAACAACAGAAAGGTTGGCCCACTAAACACCTGACACACTTAACTACAGAGTAGGAGCCCACCCAGCAGGCCCCTTTAAGTGCCTGATGCAAGGAACCAGAGGAGGACCCCACCCAGCAGGCCCCTTTAAGTGCCTGACAAGCCAAACTACACAGTAGGACCCCAGTCAGAAAGAGAAAGATAAATATCATATTCTGACGCATATATACAGAATCTAGAAAAATGGTACTGAAGAATTTATTTACAGGGCAGCAGTGGAGAAACAGACATAGACAATAGGCTTATGGACATGTGGAGAGGGGAGGAGAGGGTGAGATGTATGGGAAGAGTAACATGCAAACTTACATTACCACATGTAAAATAGATAGCCAATGGGAATTTGCTGCATGACTCAGGGAACTCAAACTGGGGCTCTGTAACAACCTAGAGCAGTAGGATGGGGAGGGAGATGGGAGAGGGAGGTTCAAAAGGGAGGGGATATATGTATACCTATGGCTGCTTCATTTGAGGTTTGTAGAAAACAAAAAAATTCTGTAAAGCAATTATCCTTCAATAAAAAAATAAAGGATAACCAACAAGGATCTACTGTATAGTATATGGAACTCTGCTCAATGCTATGTGGCAGCCTTGATGGGAGAGGGGTTTGGGGGAGAATGGAAACATATATATGTATGGCTGAGTCCCTTCATTGTTCACCTGAAACTACCACAACATTGTTAATCAGCTATATGCCAATACAAAACAAAAAGTTAAAAAAAAAAATCACTGTTTTAGTGAAGACAAAACACAATGCCCACATAATCAAGTCCCACACATATGGAATGCCAAGGTCTGGGTGTCAAAGTGCAAGACAGCACACACACCTGTGCGGTTGGTTGGCCTTGCTGTCTGGGAATCAGGAGAAGTTAAGCTTTGCCTTCTTCCTACTTCATCAGAAGGAGAGGTTGGTAAAGATGATATTGGAGGAGTCTGTGCACGACGTGTAGGAAGCACAGTGGTAGTTGGGTAACTAGAGAACATTTGCCTTTAAGGAAACAATAAAGGTTAGCATAGAAATCCAATTAGAAAATAATATATACATAACAATCTCCTTATAGAAATATGCAACCTGGCAAAACTACACAAGTTGGCTACAGTTTAACTGGGGAGAGGGAAGATATACTCTGCAGTTTTAAAAATCATTATCTCATAGGATGCTTTTACTATAAAAGCAGTAATACCTTTTCATTTGTTCAAGCAAAATGAAAGCGACATGACAAGTAGGGAGAATATAGAAATGAGGAAAATAGATTTTTAAAAAATCTCTGCCTTTGTGGAGCTTTCCTTCAATTACAATACTAAGATGACAGTAGTATTTTGGTAGGCATATTGTAGTTAGACAATAAAGAAGACTTTTAAAGATAGATAACTTACAGTTACTTAAGATATATACATTTACTAGCTAGCCATGAAAGTATTCACATGGATTCAAAGTAATAGTCTATAGGTAAAGTTATGGAAACAAAAGATAAGTGCCTAGTCACACAACACAAATGAAAAACAGTATATGAATGTCAGCAGTGTGGACAGGTAAAAGTACAGAAGTAACCCCTTTCAGGCTGAGAAGGCAGATATTAGCTAAAGAATAAAGTCCAGGAAGATCCTCACTGACTGACTGCTCTTTAGATTTGCCCAACAGAACTAATGACAACTTTTTAAGCACCAAAAAAGCACTGTCAACCCAGTCAAGTAACTATGATATGATGATGGCAGCTGTTCCCTGATTTTTCTCATGTTAAATGATGGTGAGCCAGGCGAGACAACTGCAACTCTACTAACACAGTCCCAGCCAATATGAGGTAAATGCAGACTAAAAGGAAAGGAGGAGCCACAGGGCTGGTGAATGCCTGTAGGGGCAAGGGAGCATTATTTCACCACTGAATCCCATGCCTATGGAGTTTCAGGACAACAAAGAGTTACAGTGCTACTGATCCTCTGTTGATGCCTTGAATTCTTTTTTTTTTTTTCATTTATTTTTATTAGTTGGAGGCTAATTAGTTTACAATATTATAGTGGTTTTTGTCATACATTGACATGAATCAGCCCGTTGAATTCTTAATTGCCAGAAGGATTAAAACACACATTAAAATATCCTATCACTCTTCTTTTCCTCCTTTCTCAAACAGAAGTAACTCCTGGAGCTGTGTTACTTAAGAGAGACTAAGAGATAGGCAATGTGTGGGGACTGGCCACTGGTATAGCTACTAGGATTAACACTACTTCTGCCTTAAAAAAAAAAACAAAACGAGAACAATAATTTTTATTCTGTGGGCTGAAGCTCGCTGCATCAGAATCACAGAGACTTAATTCAAACGCAAACTAGGCACCACATGGACCTACTGAATGTGACTTGCTGGGAGGACAGCCCCAGAGCTTTAGAAAGCCTCCCAGGTGGCTCTAGAGGACAACAACATTTTACCATCATTTCAGTAACAACCACTCTCCTACTCTCTTAAGAGGTCAGTCTACACACTGGAAATAATAAGCTGGCAATTAAGGGAAGGGGGGAAAGAAATAAGAAAAGGGAAAAAAAATGCTTCCCTTAATTTCACTTAAGCCCCAGTTAAAAGAGGTCACAAAACAGTCTCTCTCCAAGGATGTTCCTTTAAAGGTTTTCATTTGGAAAAGGAAAAAAAAAAAAGGTTTTCATTTTGTCTAAAACTCTGGCAAACTGAAGCAAAAAAAGAAACAAACATTCTTTGGAATTTACAAGTCCACAAAATAGGTTTGGCTGAAGAAGCATCATCAGACGTGCTCTTTCATGTGAAGAGCAGATTTGTTTGATCTTTTCAGAAAGAATAAAAGTACACTTAAAGAATTATGCTTAAAAAGAAAATATCTGAGAAAAGAAAATTATTTTCCTGGAGTTATGCTGTTTCTTGAGGCTCTAATATTCAAAACACAGTATATACTTTTAAAGGAAAAAAAAATATTCAAAAGCCTAGCCAAACAAGCAAGCAAGCAAACAAACAAACCATTATAAGGAGATAGAGTGCTACAGTACCTGATTCTCAGTGGCACTGCTGATTAGATCTGGGACCACCACTAACTGGCTGTGAGGCTTCGGGCAAGTTATTAAACTTCTGAGGAGGCATTTTCAACCTCAGTAAAATGAATTTGACTATATGATCTTAGGTTCCCTCTAGCTCTAGAATGCCTTGCCATAGTTGGGCACATTCTTCATAAGAAAACAATCATGTGTCTAGAATCACAGGCATCAATATAGCAGACATTAAAGGTCAACTTCCCTACCTGAGAAGACTAAGGGGCATCACTCCTGGGGACTCAGATGCAGGCACCGTTTCTGTGTCAGTGACTGGAGTCGTGGCAGTTGTGGTGTCCTCCAGTGAGCTGCTCATAAAGGAAGTTGTACTTGAGGCTGATGGGCTGGTGGTAACTGGGGTCTGTGCCTGTTGGGCTTGGTCACTTTCTTCAGCTTGTTGATCAATCTCTATAAACCAAGGTTATGGTTAAGACAGTAGTAAGGATTTTTTTTTTAAGTGATAAGGAAATGGGAAACTTTTAATTTGGAAAGTTTCTTATTTATTTCATAAGTATCAATTTCTGTGAAGGATTTACAGAAAAAAATGTTCTATATATACATCCTTATATTCACTATTGTGGGGATTTCCAGGTAGCTCAGGGGTAAAGAATCCGCCTGTCAATGCAGGAGATGCAAGAGACCCAGGTTCGATCCCTGGGTCAGGAAGAGCCCCTGGAGTAGGAAGTGGCAACACACTCCAATATTCATGCCTGGAAAATTTCATGGACAGAGGAGCCTGACGGGCAACAGTCCATGGTGCCACAAAGAATCAGACACGACTGAACATATTGTCTCGTTATCATAGCCTCTTTGCCGACATTACTTTGCCGAAAAAGGTCCGTCGAGTCAAAGCTATGGCCAGTAGTCATGGATGGATGTGAGAGTTGGACTATAAAGAAAGCTGAGCACCAAAGAATTGATGCTTTTGAAATGTGGTGTTGGAGAAGACTCTTGAGAGTCCCTTGGGCTGCAAGGGGATCAAACCAGTTCATCCTAAAGGAAATCAGTCCTTATAGTCATTGCAAGCAAGCACTGATGCTGAAGCTGAAGCTCCAATACTTTGGCCACCTGATGCGAAGAACTGACTCACTGGAAAAGATCCTGATGCTGGGAAAGATTGAAGGCAGGAGGAGAAGGGGACAACAGGATGAGATGGTTGGATGGCATCACCGACTCAATGGACATGAGTTTGAGCAAGCTCCAGGAGTTGGTGATGGACAGGGAGGCCTGGAATGCTGCAGTCCATGGGGTCACAAAGAGTCAGACTCGACTAAGCAACTGAACTGAACTGACTATAGCCTCTACCGCCATAATGTAACAAGCTCTTGTAATTATTCATTTCTTACTTGAGAGAAGGTACTCTTTCACTTATTCTTGCAAGATTTAACCAGAGGTTCTCTAAGAATCATTAAAACTGTGTTTCCTTAGCACTTTCATTTTGATGTTTATCTTTAGTCTTCAAACAACAAAGATGAATATATGTAAATACAATAAAAACATCGACAGAAACTCCAAAGTTCTAAAAAAGGACAATGCCTCACAAAATAAACTACTCTTTTTTTTTATAAAAGCTGAAAATTTTTTAATATTTCTGTCATTTCACAAAACATCTTTTGTTGACATTCTACAAATTATACCATCCAATAATGTTCCAATACTTTCTTCTTGTGAAGATAGTTTATATACCTTTTTGACTTCCGTAATATTTGTTATTTCGGGGAGACTTTTCAGAGGAACCTGATGACCTTCTACCTGAGATATTAGGTATTCTTGATTTATTTGTTTTTCACCCTCTTCAATATAAGCAATCAAAACCGAAGTATCATTTGCTGAGATACCAAATTTTTTCAAGGCCTCTGAAATATTGTTATTTGGGGAAAGATTGAAAATAACTTCAGTGGATAGATTTCTTGTCTTCATTTTCCCCAGTTTGTAGAGGTGAACTGCTTTGTTTGCGGCCACAATTATCTGAAATGGATCAACAATCACTGCAGGGTTTATTAATGAGCCATCAATGGCACCTTCCATAGCCTTTTTTCTCAAGCCAGCAGCATTTTTTACATCTTTAAATAAAAGAAGGGTCACCCTTGGCAAACGCTCCATACACGAGGGCGCAGGGAATCACAGGTATCATTTGGAAAATCACTGGTCTCCAGTTCCCACCCGACCCGGCCAGCGCTGTGGCGCCAGGAGTACTCCAAAATAAACTACTCTTAAGGGTTTTTTTTGTTTTGTTTTTGTTTTCTTACATTAAAATGTCTAAAGGGCTTACAAAGTATTTGCAATTTTTTCTTATCTAGTAAGGGAACTTACAAATAAACATAATCAAGATAGCAGTTGTTACAAATACCTAGCTAATTCTATTCGGTTTGTGAAGTGACCAGCTACTTTTCATAATCATGATCTTAACAACTCCTGTTTATATGCACCATACACCTCTCTCTGTCTATTTACTATCTAAGCTAAAGAAGGAAGAAGGGGAATAAGGGAAAATGAAAAAGAAGAGGAAGTGGGAGGGAAGGAAGTAAAAAACAAAGAAGCACCATGAAGGTAGGTGACTTTGTTTTGTTCACTGTTGACTCCCCAAAATCTAGAAGGGTACCTAGCACACTGTAGGTACTCAATAAATATTTACTGAATGAATTTCATTTTTATTCTCAGGATTCTTATTACCACCAAAGGTGAGGATAAAACATAAACAAGGATTTTTACACATAATATATAGCCTATGAAAGTAGACTTTTAGAAAGTCCTTTAAAATATCTCTTTAAGTTATCAGAATAATATATATATATACTGAATCAGATCAATAAATACATGAGTACCTTTTGTGGCATGAGCTAAATTTCAGTTTTACAAAATGTAATAATTATTAAGTTCCAATACTTCCATAAGTTAAAAATAAAAAAATTACAGGTATAGGCACACCTCAAAGATACTGTGGGTTTGGTTCCAGATCACTGCAATAAAGCAAATATTGCAATAAAACCACTTTTTGATTTCCCAGTGCTGAAAAAATTATGTTTACACTATAGTCTATTGAGTGTGCAACAGCATTATGTCTAAATAACAAAAACCAATGTACGTATCTTAACTAAAAAAATACTTCATTGTTAAAAAATGCTAACCATCATCTAAGCCTTCAGCAAGTCACAGTAGCAACATCAAAGATCACTGATCACAGATCACCGTAAGAAATACAATAATGACAAAAAAGTCTGAAATGCTGTGAAAATTACCAAAATGTGACAGAGACACAAAGCAAGCAAATGCTGTTGGAAAATGGCACTGAAAGACTTGCATAACCCAGAGTTGTCACAAATCTTCAATGTGTAAAAATGCAGTATCTGCAAAGTGCAATAAAAAGAGGTATGCCTGTAGACAGACAGTTATTAATATAAAGAAACAGAAAGGAACTGTCTGCCTTGCAAAGGAAAAAACACTGAAAACATTTTTAGGCAAAAACATTTATAAATCACTTACAGAATATATCACTTTTGACAATTATGAGTAATGTCAACAGCACAAAGCAAAAATTTTTTAAAAATCAGATAACTTACCTTGCTTAATTTTGCCCCCAAATTGGTCTTCCAAAAGCCCATGGACCACTAATTTATAGATCATGGCTTGAGCTCGTTCCAGATCTGCTAATCCCAGTGCTCTCTTTATGGGTGACCGCATGACTGCGCGCTTCACCATGTGGCGCATCAGAAACTGCAGTGCTGCGCGCATCTCCACGTCTTCATGAACAACTGGAGAGCTCGCACAGTCTGAGTTGTGGCCATTTTCAGCCAGAACTTTTGGAATCAGCAACAGCTCAGCATATTTACTGCAGCCAAGAAGAGCGCTGAGTGACTTCATGGCACCGAGGTAGAGATAGGACAGCTGGACTGCTCTGATTTCTGACTGGGCTATGTCATGGTTTTTGGACACATGCTCGTGATTTTTCCTTTTTCCTTCTGTTATCTGATGTTGGGATTCCGCACCTGGCACTGCTGAATCTGAAGAAAATGAAGCTATTTCGTTTTCTGATTTGGAGCTTGTGGTACCCTTAACATCATCAGATGTTAAGCCCGTTCGTGTATCTAAAGCAGATTCACTCTCAATTTTCTGTTCAACATCCCCTTTCTCCTCAGATTCATGTCGGTGTTTCTTTTCATGTCGCTTGGTGCTCTGTTTGCCCATGTCTTCATGAATGCCAGTCAGATATGTGAGGTCCAGCAACACAGAAGCTGTCAGGCCTCGAAATCGTGCCACGTCAAAAGGAAGTGGTTCACAGGGTTCCAGATTATACAATGGAGTATCACTAGGCGACCAAAAAGTTGGGAAGCTTTAATAAAGATCAGAATGACACAGGAAGAAGCAAGTGAGGGATAGACAAGAGGAAGGTATAGAAAATAATGTAGACAAAATAAGATGTATCAAAATAGAGAATAAATTACACAAACTAGAGAACTCATTACAAACAGAAAAATAAATCCATTATGAGAAAAATGGGAAGATGTGATGTTAAACGCAAAAGCAATGAGATGTTCCTGCGCCTTCAAATATGAATATTCATTATTATATGACATAAGCCAGGGACTAGAAAAATTTCTATAAAGAGCCAAATAGTACATATTTTAGGACTTGGAGGCCACATGGTCTCTGTTACAACTTTTCAACCCTGACATCATTGTGCGAAAGCAGTCACTGATGTACCTGAATGAATGCTTGTGGCTATTTAACTTTAACAGAAGCTGGGCCAGGTGTGGTTTGCTAATCCCTAATGTAAGCTGTTCAGAAAGTTTGTACAATAAATCTAGCTTATTATATGGGTAATGGCCATTTATAACCTATTCCAGATTAAGACTTTGATTCATTCAGAGAAATTACCTTGTAGTCTTCAATAAGTGCTTTCAATTTTAAGCAAAAAGATGACTACATATTTCCTAATATCCAGCAAGAACTTCCAAACATTTCAACATGCTATAACCATTAATAAAGAACTGGAATAGAAAGCTTTAGCAAGTATACAAAGTCGGGTGGCATACATTTGTTCTATTAACCTAAGTTTTGGTTCCAGCTTAACCTACTCTTATTTTCTCTTTGGGTCATTTTTCTTATTAATGGTTGTTTTAATTTAATCATTTTGCTTTATTGTATGCATCTTAGTAAGGCATCATAAATCCTTTCCAAAACAAGGCAAAGAATTAAAGAAAAAGTAGATACTTTCACAAGTAAAATTTTCATTGTTTTCTTAGCTTGGAGTCCATTAATTCCTAAAATTGTGTGTAAACTCACATGTGTTTATTTTTCAGCTGAGAGGGTCCATAGCTATCATTATATAACAGTACCACCTCCAAAAAATACTGAAGAACCATTGTTTTTTATATTGTCCCATGTCATATTAACAATGGAATCACTTTAAGCAGTATAAATGAACAGTTACATAATATCATCAATAAATCTGTGTTTTCAAATGATACATTATGTAATCATTAGTTAAGTGAGTCCCCTTATTGACTGAAATACTTAACATACTTCCCTTTAAACATATGAAGTTTCTATTTCACACAAATTCTACCTGATTCCAAATGCATCTAAATGCTTTTAAGCAGTTTGTGCCAAATAAACATAATTTTCATACCTATCAAAAATCTTGCACATTGAAGGTATAGAAATATATGCTTTAAAAAAAAAGCAAGACTATTTTAAAATAACAGATAATATAAAACCTAATTTTAGTCACTCAAATGTTCCCATCCTACATTCAAAGCCTTCCTATATAAAATGGAAATAAGAGATCTGCTGTCTGGCTTTTTTTTGCCCCAATGTGTAATGGAAATGATTAAAAAGCAGGAAGTTAAATGAAAAATAGACAGAAGGATCCTACTTAATCTAAACTACTGAGCTTACCATTTTTTTTCCCACAAAACAAAGTAAAAATTATATATTTTACAAACTACTAGTATTCCAAGGAACACAAGTTTGGGAAATACCCCTTTAGGAAATCAATAGTACTCATACCCAGATGTACGAAAAATATTATTTTAAAAAGTTAATTGGCAGCTCACCTAAAATACATAATTACTCACTGTCCATAGGCAATAGCACATTTCACCAATAAATACTCATTTGCTAACAGTGTAACTCAACAAATCATACCTGATGGTAATTTCTGCTTCATCCCATTGGACTTTGGCAGACGTGCTGCCCTCTTTGACCACTCCCAGCAGCGTGGCATGGCGCCCAGTTTGCTTGTGAACACACCGACCTCCAACTCTAAGACCAGCATCAACTCCTCCTATCACCGCCAGCACAGGCCACACCTCTATGCAAAGGGTCCTCAGCTGCGGCTCTGACAGGTCAGCAAGGCCATGCCTACTGTGTTTACCTTTCTCTTCCTCTTTGTTCTCCTTTTCTTCTCTCATTTCATTTTCCTCTCGGCTTTGAACTGAACGGCTTTTCTTTAGCTTCTGACCTGATTCTTTAATACATATCTTAATTTTGTGTAGCCTTTCCATCATTTTTTTGTTAATGCAGTAAGTCCAACGGTCTGTTCGATGAAGGATACGAATAAGCTGAATAGTGGCCTCTGCCAGCACTGCAGCTACTGGACTACAAATAGGATCTCCTGGAAGGAGGTCTCGTGGTGTGCCACGCATCTGCATATCACAAATTTTCACCTATAAAAGAAAAGAGGGTGGCAAATGTGTGATTATTAATAGTTATCCTAAACTATTAATTCTATAAATCACAAAACTATAAATCTAGCACATATAATTCCATGTGGAACTAGTATTTGGTCTCCTGATATATGCGTATTGTACTATTGGCCCTCAATAACGAGTAAGCAAGTATATAGCTCTACTAAAGTTAGTAGCAGTATGGTCCTGAGAAATAAATTACCCTGTCATTTAAACCTTCTGCAGCCTGTGAGTAGGAGGCTCAAAAAATAGGTACAGACCAAGGTATATGTGATTCAATTTGCTGTGCTGTGCTTATTTGCTCAGGTATGTCCAACTCTTTGTGACCCCATGGACTGTAGCCCACAAGGCTCCTCTGTCCGTGGGGATTCTTCAGGCAAGAATGCTGGAGTGGGTTGCCATGCCCTCCTCCAGGAGATCTTCCTAACCCAGGGATGGAACCCAGGTCTCCCACATTGCAGGCTTCATCTTTACTGTCTAAGCTATCAGGGAAGCCTTAGTCCCCACTCCAAAAGTCATGACTTCACTCTAATCCTTAAGACTCCAGAATAATAATGAGTCCTAGGACCATCTTACATTGTTTCAGAGGCACAAAGATAAACTCACAAGGCTATAAAATTGGTCACACACTTCTAATAAGACATAGAGGTTAAAAGAAGAGAAAGACCTGGGTTCAAATCTTAACTTTGTGTAATCTTCAGAAATTATTTAATCTCTCTAAACCTCAGCTTTTTCATCTGGAAAAAAAAAACCTGACACTAATACCTGTATCTATCTCTTACTATATTAAAGATTAAACTAGACTATGCACATCAAGTGCTTATCAGCACTTTGCTGTGTTCCAGACACACAGTAAATATTAAAAAAATATTATTAGTATTGTTTCTATCAGATTCTGAAGTCACACAACGCTTCTGGGTAGAATAAACTGATTGATATAAAACCTACCTAAGGTTAAATTAATTCCTTCAAGCTTCACAAATGTTAGGGAGCAATAAGCCATCATTCTAACCAGAACATACTAAGAACCTTCTCTGGGCTGCAAGAATATCACCAGGGAAATGGATAAAAAGCAGGTACTGGGGTGCCTGTTTATTTCATTTCTAATTCAGTTTTGTTGGCCACCTGGTTCAAGAAGCAGTTCCACTATCTCATGAGTAGCTAGCTTGAAATTATACCTCCTTGAAAATTTTTTAAAATATATTTAAAAGGCCAGAATAAATGATAATTTTCATGGTTAAAATTTACCAAATCTAGCATTTTCATCACAGATGTATGATATGTGAGATAGCTTGACAACTTCCTACTAAAAAATAACTAAAATTCTGGAGACCAGACCTAGGCTATACTACATCCTCAAGTAAAAGGATAGGGTAGAAAACAAATCAATCCTCACAGCGAGACCATGAAGAAGTTACTCTCTGTGTGGGTTTTAGATTAGGAGGAAAAAAGTTTTAGTGAGAGGGTATCACTTTAATACTGTTATAAGGACTTAGGGTTCAAATTTACACCGTCTACAGGGTCTGAAAACCGTCAGTGGAATGAATGAAAGGCAGCTTCCCCATCATAACTGAAACTTCCAATATTCACAGAATAGTATCTGTCTATACTGAGGTTATTTTTAGATTCCTCTCCCATAGGTACAACTGCCAATGAACCAGATTATCCCTAAACTATTTCCTGTAATCCCATATGTATTTGAAAGTTGACTCACTATATTCAAATTATCAGAATATCAAAAGAATCCCTTAAAAAAAGAGTAAAGGTAATTTTTAAAAATAATCTAACCTTCTTCTGGAAGAGTAAATTTACCTGAGAAGGTACTTCTAATGGTAGAAATAGCTTCTTGTACCTATAAACTGTGTATGATGTTAACAAATATTAATAAAAAATAACAAATATTCTTCATGCTTAATATGAAGGTCTGAGGTTTCATTACCTTTTCCCCTGGGTTGCTACTATAGAACATTACACATGGGTACAACTCTGCTGCATCCACGTCTTCAAAAGCTAATTTGGGTTCCTATAGTGTGACACGGGTGATAGGAAAAAAAGAAAACAAAAATATGTTTTAAAATTGATAATATCCAATACATATTAAGATTCAAAGATCTTACGAGACATAGTAAGTTACTAGATTCAAATATCAATTATCCTTGTTAACCAAGGAAATTCCACATATAATAAATGATCTTAATTTGATCCTGTTACAACTATCTTATTGAGATTTTACTATTGTCTTTTTCTTTTTTTTTTGGTGCTGATAAATATTATAAGAACTAAAAGGATTAGAGAAAAAGCAGAGAAGAGCAAATAATCTGTAAACTGAATAGCAAGCACTAACTGAGTCAAGGATAAGTAAAAACAAAAACTCTATGACATAAATCACAGCAAGATCTTTTTTGGTCTAATTCCTAGATTAATGAAAATAAAATAAACAAATGGGACCTAATTAAACTTAAAAGTTTTTCCACAGTAAAGGAAACCATAAACAAGACAAAAAGACAGCCCTGAGAAGGGGAGAAAATATTTGCAAATGAAGCAACTGACAAAGGATTAGTCTCCAAAATATATAAACAGTGCATGCAGCTCAATATCAAAAATAAATAAATAAATAAATGGGCAGAAGCAATCTGGCATTCTGTGATGACCTGAAGGGATAGGGTGGGGAGAGGGAAGGGAGGGGATGTATGTATAATTATGACTCATTCACACTGTATGCCAGAAACCAACACAACATTGTAAAAATTTAAAAAAAAAAAAAAAAAGAGTTCGGGGGGGAAAATGGGCAGAAGACCTAAATAGACATTTCTCCAAGGAAGACATACAGATAACCGACAAACACATGAAAAGATGCCCAACATCACTAACTGTTAAAGAAACACAAATCAAAACTACTATGAGGTATCACCTCACACTGGTCAGAATAGCTAACATCAAAAATCTACAAACAACAAATCCTGGAACCTGAGGGATAGAACGGGGTGGGATATGGAAGGGAGGTTCAAGAGGAAGAGGGCTTATGTATACTTATGGCTGATTCATGTTGATATCTGGCAAAAAACAACACAACATTGTAAAGCAAGTATCCTCCAATTAAAAATAAGAAAAAAGAATACAGGAGAAAGCTTGAGACCCTGGAGGAAAAAAAATTGCTGGAGAGGGTATAGAGAAAAGGGAACCTCTTACACTGCTAGTGTGAATATAAACTGATACAGCCACTATAGAGAACAGTGTGGAGGTTCCTTGAAAAACTAAACCTGGAACTACCATATGACCCAGCAATCCCACTATCAGGCATAAACCCAGTGTTATGGGGGTTCCTCTATGGGTTACTTTCCTTCAAATTTATGGCTTTGTTATTCTTTCTGCTTATGATATTAAAAGTAAACATTTTAAACAAACAAAAAGACACATGAACTCTAATGTTCACTGCAGCACTATGTCCAATAGCCAGGACACAGCAGTAACTTAAATGTCCATCAACAGAAGAATGGATAAAGAAGATGTGGTACATACATATGAAATATTACTTGGCCATAAAAAAAGCATGAAATAAGGTCATTTGCAGAGACATCGATGGACCTAGAGACTGTCATAAAGAATGAAGTCAGAAAGAGAAAAGTAGGTATCATACATTAATGCATATATATGTAATCTAGAAAGTGGTATAGATGCCAAGCAGAAATGGGAACACAGATGTAGAGAATAAACGTATGGATACCAAGGAGGAAAGGGTAGAGGTGGGAAGAATTATGAGGTTGGAATTGACATATTTACACCTCTGATAACATGTATAAAACAGAAGATAACTAATTTAAAAAAGAAAACAAAACAAGCAACGCCTCTGAATAAGTTTCAGTACCTCTCCATTTTTCCCAAAGGAAATGGTCCTGGCTTCCATGTCTAACACACAGGTAATGAAATCTCCTTGAGTAAAGCTGGATAACGTCAGAGTCTGTTCTCCGTTGTGATAGAGGTTACCACTGTAGGCCCGATAGAGCCACATATCCGAGGTAGTACGGTGGTTAAAGTCGTGTACTGGCCAACGAGAAACTCCAACACACGTGCCTTCATTACCTCTGTTTTCCTTCACAATGTAAAACTAAAATCAAGTAGTAATGTTCACTAATATTCAAAAAAATTTTTTATATACCATTAACCATATAAAGCAATACTGAGGAATATGTCTATAAAGAATTAAGCATTTATGAGAATGTAAGTTTATTTTTAGCTTAAGTGAAAATAACACACAAATGAAACAATTTCATCATTTTTTAAAGATTTTAAGGCAAAGTTAACATTACCATGTAGTACATGTAGAATAACCTTTGAATATAACCTTTGAGTATTTATTTGAAATAAACAATTAACTTACATCTTAATTATGAAGTTGAGAAAGTACATCAAGTCCAGAAAAATTTTAATGGAGAGCTTCAACTCTTTATATACAGAATTTCTAATTACTCTCCTATGTATACTTCTGTTCAGAAAAGAGTTAACACAGCAGGCTTGAGACTGCTCTCTTTAAAAAGGCATGCTTATAACAGTGGCCCCTTATCAAGTACCTGGTAACTCGACTGGTAAACAGTTTCCTACACTGTTACAGAACTTTCCCTAAATGATTCAAGCAGCTTACCAGGACAAGAATGTCTGAACAAACAATGTGGTTTACAATGAACAGGAACTTTCCTTTTGGGAGTCTGGACTTTTAGCACATGCCAGGCAGAGGGTACCTTCATTACCAGTCTCCAGTAAAAATGTTGGGAACCAAGTCTCTAATGGGCTTCCCTAAAACATCACACACAAGTTCCTGTATTTTGTTGGTGGGACAAGTATGTGGTCCATGTGACCCTTCATGGCATGGAGAAAACATAAGGAAGCCTGAACATGTATTCCTCTAGATGCTTCCTGTGTCTTTTCCGCTTATTATCTGGCTATATATCCTTACCACCTGTTACAGAAAACCCCAGTCATCATGAATACAATGATACACTGAGTCCTATGAGTCCTTCTACCAAATCTTTGAACATAGGGGTAATCTTCAGGATCTCCAACACAATAGTGACAACATGAGCTTCACTAGAACAACTCTAAATCATTAAAATATAAGTACATATTTGGGAACAAGAGAGAACTGGGGAAAGAGAAAACTCTAACGCCTATGGGGTTACACTTCATGAAACAGCAGGTGAGTGGCTATCTATTGAGAGAGACAAAAGTTACCCACGGAATTAGAAAGTAATAGAGTCAACCACAGGAGGGTTGGCTCACTGGATCCCCTGGCTGCTTTTGGCCCTGTTAGTTAAGTGAGCAGAAAAGAGCAGAAAAATGTTTTCCTCTCTAAGTGGGGCGTGAAAGGGCCTAAACATTCCCAACACATGGGCTTTGGATGGGCCAAAGAATAAAAATAAGCTTGCAGTTGCTCTCTCCTCCAGGGGGCAAAAGAAAAAGTTCAAAATTCCCTGAGGTGAATTTTGGGTAGACCAAAAATATTAGAAGTGTATGTTGTTCTTTCCTCCAAACAAGAAGAGATAAAGTATTTAAGTCAGTTCCCAGGGTGGAGCAAAGATTTAAAAAGAAGGAAGGAAGGAATGGGAGGGAAGGGAAAAAGACCTTAGTCACTTAGACTTGAAATGCAGCGGTCTGATCCTACAGCATTTAGGCTTTACTGCTACCCTCAAAAGTTGCTAGTTTTATTATAGAAGCCTCAATTCACAGCTTCCAGTCGCTTAGAGCAGCCTCTAAGTTAAAACCTGATACTCTCTGCTATGGGTTGTTTCAATTCAACATGAGCTGTGTTCAACTAAAAATAGATACCAGCCCAACAAACAAAAATCAAATGCTGGGACTGCTGAAGATTTAGTTGGTGTAGCCATAAACTGAAAACATCATGGATTCTAGTTGGACTGTCCAGGATTCTTCTTATATACGCCCCTGGGAAAGGGCTTGTTCTTTTGATAGTCATCTAACTTGAGCTGCTGAATGACTTTCTATTTCTGATATAGAAACTGATTATATTCTCAACTTCTGTTCTTTCTGAAACCTGAAAGCTGGAGGAAGGCATACTATAGAGCACATGATCCCTCTCGTCCACTCTTATAACAGATGGACCCTTGACCTCTTCTTGCGGATGTCCTATTGCTACTGACTTTTTCTTCAGCTTTTTGAACTAGTCACAGTTTCAGCAATAGACTGATAGCTTGGTTCTATGTCTGATACATGGGCCCTAGTAAGACAGATTATTAAATGAAGCTCTCCCCAGAAAAAAGACGGATCTTTCCTAGGCTGCTCACTGGATAAATGGTTAGGATAGAAGAGGTAGATGATGTGAAAAACAATTTTTTAATTGGGATTTTGTCCTGACAATTCCTAACCTTTCTGGTTAGGAATAAAAATGTTTTCATTTTAAAAAATTTTTTTGTGTGTGAAAATTCTTTTGTCCCTATTGCTTCTAAGCCTTCTGGACAAAAGGGCTAGATGATGATAAAAAATGATTTTTTAAAATGTGATGTTATAATTACTAAATGAGAGATGCTGATTTTAGAATAATGTAGGTGGGGAGGGAACCCAGGCCCCAGGATGTGTGGAATAGAGATGGCATAAATGATCACCATTTTTCACAAGGAGCCACCTTTATCAGTTAGGGAAACTGTATCAACGTAAAGTATTTACGTTGGGAAAAGCCATGCTGTTGAGAAGGTGGTTTTGAGCACTTTTATATATATTTTTTGAGCACTTTATATATTTGAGCACTTTATATTCAAACTGGCTTCTGAGCCTCCCATTATACACAACAGGCTATACGAAGCCCAGGGGTGACTCCAGGACCTGGAATTTCCGCAGAACACCCCCAGGTGTCATCCACACTCTTGAGGCAGATAAAACGATGTCACAGACAAACAGAACTATTTAACCAACTGGCTTCAGAGATAGTCCCTCTGAAACCAAGAACTCAGCTAAATTATTTAGACCGCAATGAGAAAATAAGGTGGGAGGCCCCCTGATAGGAGAGCACGTCGGGGTCCTGTTAACTTGTTCTGCCTGACTACTGTATATTTTATAAGATCTTCATCTCCAAGGATACCACGTACAACCTCTGGAATTACATTTTTCTCTGTATGTGCCCTATCCTGAGTTCTGGACTGGCCAGAGTTGTACTGTGCTAAATTTATGGGAAAAGCCACATGACTTTTTAAGATAAATCTTTTTAAATAAGATTTATTTTAACTGGCTAAGTCTAAGACCCCTGAAGTCAATACTATAAGGTGGTCTGACCCTGCTCTCTGAGGTCCTACCAGATAATAACATTAATTTTATCGTAAAAACACTGTGGCCAAGAGCCAAGGAGGGAGACTGTGCAATCAAAAGAAGGAACACAACAGGACTGCTATCTTTAGAAATTCTGCTTGTGATGTTGGTCCTTGGCTGGTACCTGGGGACTAGACTGATAAATACTTTATGTTGATACAGTTTCCCTAACTGATAAAGGTGGCTCCTTGTGCTTAGACTGTATGATAATATGATTTATGCTAAAAAGCTACTTTCCCTCTGGGAATCTAACATTTTAGTATATGCCAGGCAGGGAGTATGTGACTAGCATCCAGTAAAAATCTCGGCCACGCAGTCTCTAATGTGCTCTCCCAGGAAGAAACATCACACATATGTTGTCAAATTTTCACTGCTGGGGGTGCACTGTGTGACCTCATGGAAGAGATGATCATGATTTTTCAACTGTACTTTAAAAACATTTTTGAAAGAGTTACAAAAATAATACAGGGTTCTTGTATATCCTTCATTGAGCTTCCATTTATGTTAAAAATGGCAGAGTACTAGAAATTTTACATAAGATGATTTTTTTTAAGAGTCTTTCCAATTTTTAAAAAATAATAATCTAGGAGGAAAAGACTAAAAGACAAAATGTCTTATATAACTACTTAGAATTCTACGCACCTTCCACTGATAGCACCCAGAAGTTACTCCAGTTGACGCCAATCCATATCCTTTTCCTCCACTGCCATGAGTTAAAATCTGTCCGTTTTCCACTATGCAACACTGAGCCTTCTCTGGGTCAAAGGATACTTCTTGTATAGGAAGATTCTCATCTTCTTCCTCCAATTCTCCCTGCTTCTACCAGAAAAGAAACTGGGTCAGTATTTTGAAGTAACTCAGATCTCAGTTAATAGATATTCTAAGACTCCTTGGTTTGATTCCACAAATATTTATTATCTACTATATACCAGTTACTGTGTAGGCGAAGGGAACACAAGCATCAATGCGGCATGGTCCCTGCCCACAAAGAGTTTATAGCTCAGCAAGGCAAAAGAGAGACAAATAACACAGTACTTCAGTGAGAGAATAAAAGAAGTTACATGACAGGCATAGCAGAAACATAAAAGTGTAAGTTTCTAACCATGCTTGGGAAGGATAAGGTAAGCATTCAAAAGAAGATGACTTCTGATCTCAATCCTGAATGACAAGAAGGCATTAAGCAGCTGATCAAAGAAAAAGAAATATAAGGCAGTATGTACGGCATGTGTCAAGGCACAGAAGTGAAACAGAATTCACTGATCAGCATTCACTGATTTAACATTATTGCAAGCAGTATTGAAGACCTGGAGGATGAGACTGAAAGAGAATAAGGAACTAGGAACAAAATCATGGAAGGCGTTCTAAGTTTGATCTTTAGACAACAGAATTTCTACACAGAATGATTTATATAGAGGAACTCTGATCAGATCTATGTTTCATAAACATTGTTGTACCAGGAGTACACAGGATGAAAACACAGAGAACAATCAGGAGCTTACTGCAAGAGTTCAGGTGAGAAACACTGACAACATAAAAATCCTTCATTTACTCAGTGAGTATGTATTAAGCATCTACTATGTACTAGACACTATACCAGGTCCTATATATTCAGCAATATATTGGACAGATAAGGTCTCTGCTCGCACAGAGCTTGTATTTTAGAAGGTGGGGACAGAAAAGAAACAAGAAAATATTAGGTGATAAATGCTATGCTGAAATTAAAACAGATGATGTTTGTGGCATAAAAGAGTATGTGGCAACTGACTCTAGATTGTGGATTAGGAAAGGAATCTGAAGAAGTGATAATTAAGTCAAGACATGAATAATGAGTTGACTTCTGAGACACATATCTGAGGAAGTATTCTAGGTAGAAAGAAAGCCAGATCAAAGCTCAAAGGAAGGAACAAGCTCAGTGTGATCAAGAAACAAGAAGAAGGCAAGTTGTTCACAGTGTAGTAAGCAAAGAGGAGATAAAGGATGGAAAACCATTAACTGGAAGGTTTTAAGCAGAGGATCAACATGTTCCAAGTTACCAAGTTAAAAGTCACACTAGACCCTGTGTAGAGAATAAATTACAGGGAATTAACATGGAATATTGCATAATCCAGGCCAGGCGTAAGAGTGGCCTGGAGTAGGGTGATGGCAGAGGAATGAGGAGATGGAAAAATTCAAGTTAAATATTAAAATAGAAGTTAGCAGGACTTGGAGATTATATAGATAGAGAAAATGGAATGTGTGTGATAGAGAGGAATCAAGGATGACTGCTTGGTTTTTTGGTTGAGTCACTTACTAGGAAATATGGGAAAGCCTGGAGAAGGAACAGACTATTAACAGAACTAAGGATGCTGCTAAGTATGAGATGCCTATTAAACTATCTTTCAAGTGGCAAGGCAAGTAGAAGATGGGTATATAAGTCTGGGATTCAGAAAAAAATGTCAAAAACGGGATTAAAGATTTGGTGACCAATGGCAAATGGGTCTGAATAAGGTTTGATGCTAGAGGAAATGAAATGGAAGTAATAGCTGAAGAAAATAAGGGGTCTTAGGACCAAACCTTGGGATATTCCAGCAGTTAGATTAAATAGAAGTGAAAGTCAAAGTGGTAGTCACTCAGTCATGTCCAACGCTTTGCGAATCCATGCACTGTAGCCCACCAGGCTCCTCTGTCCATAGAATTCTCCAGGAAAGAATACTGGAGTGGGCTGCCATTCCATTCTCCAGGAGAGCTTCCCCACCCAGGGACTGAACCCAGGTCTTCTATATTACAGGCAGATTCTTTACCTGAATCTGCCTCAATGGGAATCTGCCTCAGACCAGGCTTTCCCTGGTCTGAGCCACCAGGGAAGCCCTAAAACAGACGAGGAGGTACAAATAAAAAAGGATAAGAAGAAAAGGCCGTTGTACTGGGATAGAAGGAAAACCAGAAAAAGCATGGAATCATGAAAACTAACAGAAAGACTAAGACAGCTAGATGGATGGATTCAAGCAAGAACGATTTAAGAGGTGAAATCAGTGAGGTCTAGGGACCACACGGATTGGGGATATTAGCAAAGTCTAGAATTCCCAGGAATTCAGGTTTGAAAAGCTAGTTGAATGTTAGTGCCACCAATAAAAATGGGGTAGGAGGAAAAGAAGAAAGGTGTGAAGCAAAGACACCTGGGCTATCTATCATTCAAGCTTGGAAGGCAATGAATGTAGTAAAAATGGTCATGATCATGACTGAGACTTCTAGAAAAGCTAAACACAGAACTCTTAGGAACACCAGAATTTGGGATGGAGGCAAGGAGAAAGTCACACCAAAGAAGAGATACCTCCAGAAGGAATTAAGGATTGCCAGAGGGAATCTGGAGAAAGTGATGGTTTGAAAACAATGGAAGGCTAGAGTTTCCAGAGGTTGAGTAAGTTGTGAGCAAAAAGCCATACAATGTATTACCAATAACACCTCTGACATTATTTCAGTGCTTTGGTGGAAGAGAAACGATTGGGCTGAAGAGATGAGAAGTAAGGAAAGTGATTTAAACATGTACAAGATTACTCTTCCCAGAGGCTCAGCAATGACGCCCAAAAGAATATATAGAAAGGCTTCATTGATAAAAAATGCTATTTAGGAGAGTGGGAATAAGAGATATTTACAAACTGAGGAGAAGGAAACTCCTCCAGTGGAGAGGGAGAGAGAGTGCAGAGAGGAGACTGAATAACTGATAGAACAATGTCCCTCAAAGGAGAAAGGATCCAGAGACAGGTGGCAAGATATTCACTTGTGCTGTCTAAAAACACCTTTTTGGAAGAATCAGGTACCTGTAATTTTATTTCTTGTTCCTTTTCCTTTATCTGAATAGCATGTTTGGCCTGAGCAATGGGTGTCTCCCACATACAATCAGACAGGAGGGAAAACAGGCGTTCCACAACCTGTGTATTGAAGGAAAAAGAATGATAAAATCTGTAAAGGATTATTTAAACTATTTTTAGAAAAGACAAATCATAAGATTAAGTCACCCGTGAGATTTAATTATACCAATGTCTGACAGCTACTTTGGGTAGATGCAAGCTAAAATGTCATTTTTTAGAAAGATCATTAACCCACTACAGAGTGGGTGCAACTGCCCTCATGTTGCCTTGCTATATGGACCTCCGATGAGGCCATACAGCCCCACATCCTTCTCTCTCTAAATGCCCAAACGTAGTAAAAAATTCTATAAATTTTCCTTTCATTTTGACCTTGAAAATATTCACTATACACCACTCCTCACATCTCATAACTAATTTCTCTTTCTCTTTGCTTGGAGATGAAAAATTTAAAAAACAATCTCAGAAGTAGAAGTTGTAGATGCTACTGAATAAATGACATATTTGCAACTGAAGAGACTGTAAGTTTCAAGTTTGGGTGAATCATGTTGCAGATGTAAAGAATATCTTCTAATAATTTAAAAAATAGAAACCTGGGCCATCTGATCATCTTCTACACCAGATTCACAAGCTGGCAGCACAGCCTCAAGGACATGAAGTGCAAGGAGCCTCGTTCTTAAGTTACCAACTAGAGGAATTCCTGGAGGGGAAAAGAACATTGTCTTATTATAAATGTGACTTAAATTCAAAGTTTAAATAAACTTCTTGAAAAAAATCCTTGAGGCTGTTAAGTATTTAGGATGGAATGGACTTCACTTCAGCATATTATCACAAAAGTTCTGGATTCATCCCATATCCATCAATGTATATGAATATTCATGTTCGTGTTTCAGTTTTTATGTATATATAATGGAACAGTACTATAATAAACATCTGTGCCAAGTACCATGCTATGCATTTCATATACATTAATAACTGTTGATCCTCACAAATCCTACATTATATCCTTATTTTACTGATGAGGAAACTGAGGCTCAGAGAAGTAACTTGAGCAAAGCCACATAGCTCAGTAGAGACAGAAGTAAAATTTTAAATGACACATCTGTTAACCTCTAAAGCTCAGGCTTATCATACCCTTTAATTGCTTCTGACTGCATCTATGCCCTGAGGGACCTACAGGGTTAACGGAGAGAAAGCATTTTGTATTTTTCTAAAACAAAGAAAGAGGCAGGATACTGATGCTCTTTTTTCTATCCACTACTATTACTGGGTTGGCCAAAAAGCTCTTTTGGGTTTTTTGCACTGTCTTACAGAAAAATCCAAAAGAACTCTCTTGGCCAACCCAATACAACACAACCAGTAGAAATAAATTAATATCTGATTCTTCTTCACGCTCTAAGAACTTAATATTATCATAAGACTTATTTTATTAAAGGAGAAAAAAAAATACTGTAAGTTATACTAGTAAAGAAAAACTAACGGGAAAATGAGTATAAACCTACTATATATAAGGCTAAGAGGCATAGTTACAGGAAGAACCCTGACTTGAACTACTGATCTGCCAATAGTAGTAACTTGTAAATTGCAGAGATTTTAAGAAAATGAGAAAGGTAAGGCCTCTTTTAAATAAAATGATGTTTTATTTGCAGCACAGTTGATCAATTTTGGAAATTCTTTAAACACTTTTAACAACAAATCAGGGGAGGGAGCTAAGATGGCGGAGGAATAGGACGGGGAGACCACTTTCTCCCCCACAAATTCATTGAAAGATCATCTGAACGCTGAGCAAACACCACAAAACAACTTGTCATCGCTAGCAGAGGACATCAGACACCCAGAAAAGCAGCCCATTGTCTTCGAAAGGAGGTAGGACAAAATATAAAAGATTAACAACAAATCGATTTCTTGTCAGAATTTGCTACCACAATGACTGGGATAATTCTGTTACAAGAACATTAAGATTTAGTGTGACTCCATTTTACTGTATTTTTGCAGTTAATAACTGCAGCTATTATGTTAATAATAAGCTGCCTGTATTCTTTTTGTTTATATATCAACCTTAAAACATATATAGAATCTAAATTTTAAAAAAATTGAATACATACAAAAATGTAAAAAGAAACACTAATAAACTATATTAAAGTGTACACATATAAAATAACATGCACCACAGAAGACTCTGTTACATTTTAGGACATTTAAGAAAGATTAGGGATGATGATGACGTTCTAGAAATGAACAGCAGTGATGGTTAAGCAACACTGTGAATGTACTCAATGTCACTGAATTGTACACTTAAGCGGTTAAAATGGTAAATTCTATTTTATGTACATTTATTTTAAAAACAATAAAAAGCAAACAGATTTATAGGAAAAGACTGACGGTAATCTATGTACGCAGACCAGAGTTTTAGACTAAGCAGCAAAAATTAAGCTTATTTTACAGAACTCTCAGCACACAACTAGAAATTAAATCAAGACAACAGAAATCATATCACGATGAGAAAGAACAGACAAATTCAGATCTGCATTCTGATAATCCAACAGTTTCAAAATCTGTGCTTAATTATCACATTAAACTGGATGTTCTCCACTTATTATTGTAATCTGAACAACTAGAGACGTTTCCAATATTAAATCTATGATTTAAGTGCTATCTTCTATTATTTATTCCTTTCCATTTTTACTCCTGAAATTACTTTTCTTTCAATCAAATAAGTACACACAAAACAGGAAAGAAAAGTCTTAAAATCAAGGTCAAGTATCCAATGCTGTTAAAAGTCTGGCATTATCTGAATAAAACACATGTGATATGCAAAATATGCCAAAATAAGACAAAGGTCACATACCTGAAGAACATTTCTGAGACGCTATATTTAAAAGCACCTCTGTCCACTTTGGGGAAGCCATTTTTGATTGAATTGCTTTTGAAGATACAACTCTGCGAAGAAAAACTAGAAAATCCCCCAGATGCAGTTCAGCTGCGTGCTGTTTCCTAAGAGCAGCTAAAGAGTGGACAGACAGGTTTACATTATATAAACAAAAGCAAACAGTTTTTTATCAAATAACTTACACTGAGAATGCAGTTAAGTACCACTTAATTCACAACCTAGGCTCTCAATTAGCTGCCTAGGGCCTAGGTTCAATTCCCGGCTGGGGAACTAATATCCTACAAGCCACGCTACATGGACAAAAAAAAAATAAATGTTATGAACTGAAACATATTCTTAAAAACCAAAACAAAACCATGTCTGTGTGTGCATTAGACTAGTAAAAGCTGACAACTGTGATCACATTTTCAAAAAGTCCATGATCCACTCACCACTTCCCCCATCCTCTGGCCCAATTAAATTAAGAATTACATCTCTAGAAAAGACTTAACTGTTTTTAAGTTTACAAGAAACAAATTTCTAGGCCTGGGTATGGTTTGTCTGAACTCTACATATAAGAAATCTTTCCACCAACCTGCTCTAAACAACCATCCCAATTTTCCCACAAGCATCAAGACCTCTTGTCACCCCTCTAATAGTTTCTCTCCAGGACTGATGCTAAAGCTGAAGCTCCAATACTTTGGCCATCCAATGTGAAGAATGATTCACTGGAAAAGACCCTGATGCTGGGAAAGACTGAGGGCAGGAGGAGAAGAGGGTGGCAGAGGATAAAATGGTTGGATAGCATCACCAACTCAATGGACCTAAGTCTGAGCAAACTGTGGGAGATATTAAAGAACAGGGAAGCCCGATATGCTACAGTCCATGGAGTTGCAAATAGTTGGACACGACTTAGCAACTAAATAACAACCCTGTGCATTTTGAAGCCAAAGAACTTTCTGCTCTTCCTCTAATACACCATATCATCCAACACCTTGGAGGTATGACCCACTCAGAGCCAGGACAAAGAAGTTTGCCAATGGGGCAGATACCGAAAATGTCAGTCTGTAATGTGCATTAAAACATGGAAAACTGTAACAATTTGAAAATAGGCATTTCTTTCAGGGAGATCCTGGTATATCAAATTAAGAAATACACAAATAAGTCACTGGTGATGGAGGGGAGGCCAACTCCCAGCCAAAGGACAGGTCTGGCTAGTCAGTAATTTATAATATCTTCATGGATATCTTGTTAAATGGAGGGCTTCTGTTTTGTTGATGGGTGTGCACGTTTATGATAGAACCAACCTGTTAGGGACAATTAGAGAAAAAGCTAAGCGTTCCTTTTCTACATTTCCTTCTCACAGTACTCTAATCTTTACTTCTTCAGTATTTGCTAATATACAAACCTTTTTAATAATATTAATTTGAAGAATATAAAGTTATTAGCCTGCCCTGGGTACCTACATCTCACTCTAACCTTGTTCCTGTTCTACTGAAATACAATCCTGTTCCTTGTTCCTGTTGCATTTCTTCAAAATCCAGTTCATCCTTGCGCAAGGGCCATGCTAATCTTCTCTGTATCGTTCCAATTTTAGTATATGTGCTGCTGAAGCGAGCACCAAACTCCAGTTCAAAAGTAACCTCTTCCATGAAGCTTTCTCTCTTGGTAGAGACCCCTGGGAAAATTTCTTTTAGGAGGCCTCCATCCAAACCCACTCTCACTCCCAAAAAATAAATGGAAAAAAAAAAGAAAAAAGAAAAAAAAAAGAAAGTAATTAAAGCCTAGAGACCTTAACCAAAACGCTGGTGGATACAGCTTGATGATATAGTTTGTTTCCAGTATCAGTACTATGTTTGAAATGAAGAGTACACCTTACCTTTAGTTAAGCATTATAGAGAGTATGTGGAGTTATTAATACCTGATCTACCTATCGGAATGCCCGGCCACTAGAATCCGTCTCACTCCCAGCCACGCCCATAAACAGAAAAGGTACAACCTGAGGGGAACAGGTGTGGACTCAGTGTGTTGTTACACCTGCAAAGATTCATCCCAGTTTATTTTTTTATTGGATATGGGAGGATGCTGAGAAGTAACTCTTCTGTTTCTTCCATGCTGTCCATATGTGCATTGCTCAACAGAGAGTGGTAAGAAACTATTACCCTAACAACCCTGTATCCCCAGTTGGATCTCAGGAAAAAGGGGAGAGGCACTGAAAGCCTGTTTTTACGTTACCATGCCTTGTGAGTCTCCCCACACTCTGTATAAGCAACATGTTCTTTATAAAAAAGAAGTAACGTGCCAAAGATTCAGCCTCTGAAACCAAAAGTTAGCCCTCAATGAGACTCATACATCCTTCTAGATTCTGACCTAAGAGATTTAGCTATTTCTTCTGAGCTTATTGTATTACACCGTAAATATTTGTTTAAATATCTGCCTTCCTCATTACCCTAGAAAGTGCTAGAGGGCAGAGATAATGTTTTGTCATTTTTGTATCCCCAGCATGTTCCTTTATCCACCCACCTACCTATATAGTATTAATATTATTTAAATACTACCTTATTTAAATATTATTCATTATACTATTCCAATATTAACATTCATCAAGCTCTTATGTGCCAGATACTGCTCTAAGTCCTTTACAGGTTTTAAACTATTTAATTCTCATAATGGTCTTGAAAGACTGGGTCTATTACCTTTGTTTTATCTATCCATCTATCTGGTCCAGAAAGGATTTAACAGCTCCCAGAGCTCATTATGGTAATAAGACATTGGTAGTTACACAAAATTTTTTCAACAAATGATCAGTTTTAGACCTTTATTCCTTTATTATATAACTGACATATGCAGTAGTTCTCCTGGGTTTACATTCTACTGAAATACAACATTCACTATATTTTTTGTGGGGCTTTTTTGGCTGTGCTGTGCAACCTGTGGGATCTTAGTTCCCTGACCAGGGCTTGAACCCACATTCTCAGCAGTAAAAACCAAGTCGTAACCACTGAATGAGGGAATTCCCACAATGTTAATAGTTTTTTAAAGCTATAAGCAGATGACCATATTACAGCAACCAAAATTTATTACAGCTAAGTATAATTAAGAATTTTTTTTAGTGACTAGAGAACAGAACAGCCTAGCAAGAAGTTCAGCTCCCCTAATTCTAACCCAATTCCAAAATATTAAAAACCTTGATCCTGGAGGAACACTTAAACCAAGACTACAACTCAAGAGATGAGCTGTCAGGATTAAATGCTACAAAAACATAATCTGGGGAAATCAGTCTGACAACCAGACTGAGAACTTCTAGGTTCTAGATACAATAGAGAGCCTGAATCTAGACTTTGGGTGGTATAGTTACTACATCAGGGTTAACTGACTGTAAAGAGAGGACGTTCAATCAGACATACATCTACATCATACATATTTGGAGAGAAATGGGGTTTCTAAGTAAACAAAAGTCCTTTCATGCCTCACAACAGCAAGAAGTCTACATTCTAAAGATATTCACACAATGTGGACTCAATAAATGCTTATAAATAATGACAGAAAAAAATGTTTATGACACCTCTGAAATCTCTCTTCTCAGTTTCTCCACTGGAGTCAGTTTTTTTTTCTTCTTCATCCTCTCCTTCTCCAAAAGAGGCCATAAGCAACACACCAGCCTGGGACAACAAATTCTTCAACTGACTACAGAGTAGATCCAACAAAGACTGAACTACCTTGGGGCTCAGTTTATCAGCATAGGTCCTGTGTGCAAGAATGGGGAAAAATAAATTGTGATTATACAGAAGGGCAAGCACACTTAAATACATAAAGAAGATTAGTGGAAAAAGGAAATTACTAAAATGTGAAAGACCAACCCCCACAAAGTTCCAGCAAGACATCTACAATGCTCACCCTGTAGTGATGGCTAGAATCTGAAGCAACCTTGTACTAGCCACTTTTAAAGCTGTGCTAAGCTGGGAAACACCTGTTTTTGGCAACAATTGAAGAGGCTGTCCTAGCATGGTGTCTGTGCCACATAACTGCGACAATACATTTAGCAGACCAGTGGAAATCGCCAAAGAAACATCTACTGGCTGATAGTGAACACTCAGGGCAAAAACTGTAACCAAAAGGAGACGCTGCTGGGCTTCTAGAAAAAAAAGAGAAAGACAACTGAGAATCTTCTTTGACGTTAACAAAGCATTTACTAGTCATATTCCAAAACATAAATGGCAGTATGGAACACTATTACACTTTCAAATATTTATTCTTTACAGATAAGCTGACGTACTAATGTTATTAAACACAGATCATTAGCTACCTACTATAACCCCAGGTGAAAATGCAACTTGCATCTCATATTTGCATGTGCAGTTACTCACCAATGTGGTGCTTGTTGGCTTGCAGGGCTCTCTCCAGCGTAGCAGACAATTGTTGATAAATCTTATGCACAGCCACCTGGATTTCAATCTGAATATTTCTCTTAGCTGCTCTGATCCCATCCTAAATTACACATAAAGATTTACCTTTTCTATTAACAACAATAATACTTCCTACTTTTGAAAGTAATAGCATTTTATCCCTAGTCTATACTAGAGCCCTCTGGTAAGTTTTTAATCATTTTGTATATTTCAGTATATAAAAGTTAAAACTTATTTTTCAATGCTTGAAAATTCTTGATTCTATATAATCTTTCTCCTTTCCCACAAAGCATTTTTCCTCTCTAAACATAGCAGACAAGAAGAGAACACTTAAAAAAAAACAGTTCAAACAACCAGAGAAACTAAGTAAAACTGATCAAGTCTAAAATGTAAATTTTTGAAACCCATTCTCCCAAATACCAACCCTGTCCCAACTTAAATCTACCTCTATGCAATTTGGCTAAGGGGTAATAAAACTGAGCCAGCAAAGAATGTAAAAGTACAACAGTACCATAGCTTACCTACTGCTTTATCTAATTGCAGCTATACTACTATTTATTACTCAAGAAATGAAACCAATGATATCATTAAGTCATTTAGGTCTTTATATTTTTAAACCTCAATTCTAAACACCAAAAACTTTAGCATTATTAAACTGGTGTTACAAAAAATACAGCTAAAATCTGCATATACTGCAAGGTGCCATCCTCACAGGACAGATCTTTCACCTACCTGATAGTGATGCAATCGGCCACTCTCTCCTTTGGCTCCTGCATGTCCAACAGTGCCTAAACCGAAACACCCTGCTAGAAACTGCAGCCTCACAGATGTGAGCAAAGTGGATGACTGGAAACCTGAGCTTGATCTGCTTCCTGTCAGAGAGATGCTACCTTTTTCTTCCATTCCAGACAACAGAACAAGTATCTGATGAAGTGCCTCTAAACGGAGCTTGCAAAAAGGAAAAATAAACATATTTTAAAATTCTTCACTGAACTGAGACACAAATAACTCTCTGCATCATAGACAATATATTTCTCAATGTACAGAAAATTCTGATATTTCTTAGGAATCTGTTCTATTGACATAAATAATTATTTTACTATTATGACTTTAAAAATTAAAATATCTCTCAGGTCTGTGCAGCATACTTCAGTATAAAAGAAGTTATACAGTACAATGGAAAAATTAGTAAATCTGGAAGCAGGAGACCTAGTTTAAAGGCCAGAGTAGTCCAATCACTATGCAGTCTTGGGAAACTCACTTAATTTCCTGAGTCTCCGTTTCTTCATGTATAAAATAAGGCTATTAGTACTTTAATCTACTCACAGAACTACTGTGATGCTCATGAGGAGATACATGTGAAGGTTTCAAAAGTGTCAAGTAGTAAGGATACTGCTTCCTTTTCTTATAACACTGTTATATAGAATGAATACTCTTTAGCTTAAGGATTAGAAGAAGTATTCCCAAAAGGTCTCAATGTGGTTCTCTTGAACTTTGGGCTCTATCTTCCCTAGGAGGACAAATATCCACCACAGCAGTCAACTGGCCTATACCTCTTTTTTTTATATAAACTTTTTATTTAGAAATAATTTTGTATCTCTAGGAAGAGTTCCTGTATACTTTCCCCAAGTTTCTCCTACTGTTAACATCTTACATAATTATGGTACATTTATCAAAAACAAATTAACACTGGTACAACACTATTAACCAAACCACAGAATTTATTTGGATTTTACCAGTTTCCCCATAATGTCCCCTTTATGTTCCAGGATCCAATCCAGACTATTACACTGCATTTAGTTATCTTGTCTCCTTTAGTCTGTGACAGTTTCTGTCTTTGTTTTCCATGACCTGGACACTTACAAAAGGCTGTTCCTATATTTTATAGCATGTCCCTTGATTTGAGTTTGCCTGATGTTTTCTCATGTTTGGACTACAGATATGGATTTGGGGAAAGAATATTATAAAGTCTCCCTCTTATTATATTATTATCACCGTGCATGATATTAGCATAACCTATTATTATGGTGATATTAATCTTGATCACTTGGTTAAGGTGATGTCTGCCAGGTCTCTGCAAAGTAAAATTACTTCCCCCCTCCCCCAATTTTCACACTCTGTTAGCTCTAAATCACTAAGTCCAGCTTACTCTTAGGAGGAGGAAAATTAAGCTCACCTCCTGGCAGGAAGAGGATCAAAGAATTTGAGGACATGTTAAAATCGCGATCATTAATAAATATTTTGAGGGAGATATTTAAGAGGCTTTGTTCACTAACTTTAGCATTCATCATTATTACCATGACGTTCTAATCTAGCCCTTTTTAAACAGAGACAAATGTGTCAAAAATGGAGACTCTAAGAGCAGATCTGTATGATCACCCACCAATCTTATTATAGTTTCCAGGAGACAAGGAAACACTTAGTGATTAGAGTCTCTTGTTCTAAAAGACAGCAATTAAAAATACACTATTGTTCACTGCAAAGAAAATATCAAGTTGCTCCAGTTAAGACAGCAATATCAAAAAGTTCAGGTGAAGGAAAGACGGAGGCAAGGAGTAGAAGAAAAGGAAAAAATTTTCCTATTAATTGTATATTCAGTGGTTCATAGTCCCTCACAAGGAGTAAATATCAAAAACTTACTTCGGCCCTTAACTGTTGCTGCTCCATTGCAATGATGGAGGCCTGGGGACTTGTAGACATACTTTCCTCTGGCTCTTTAAAACCTGGAGCATTCCCCACATCTCCACTCACAAAGCTTACAACATTTTCAATCAAAGTGTGAACTCCCAAAGACTTGGTAAGATCAAAATCAGACTCAAATGAATAAGAGGAATTGCACAACCAGTCTCTGTTATGTTTCAGGCGAGTCCACGAGTCGCTCAGGGATTCCAATTGACTGTGCATAGGACCTACATACAAACAGAACAAACATGCATCACTGATGACCAAGTAGAACACACATTCTGAAACTAGATGAAGGCTGAGTGCTGCTACCAGCTGGTGAGGAATGGATACTCATGTTTGAATACATGCATGCATTAAGTGAATCTGAGCAAAATGCTTTGCTAAAAAACAACAAACAAACAAAAACTAGAGCAATGTAAGAAAAGAAAGGGAAAGCCCTGTTTAATGTACTAGTGTCTCTGTAAGCGCTTTAGCAACACGCTGCCACAAGAAAAAGAAAGGCAGAAGCTGTTCTCAAAATGCTTAGCTTAAAAGGCTCTGCAGTATTAAACCAGACCATCATTTATGACCACAACAGAACTAGGCACTTAGGGCACTGCTGGTAAGATCAACTAGCAATAGAACGTCATCTGATTTAACATTATCATTGCAAAGAGTGAATTAAGGTTGTGCAAAGTGTCTACATATCTGCAATGAAATATTACCAAAAAAATGAATATAGAAGGGCAAGTAAACTTACACAAAAAGGAGACATAAACATCACCCTTTGGGTTTCATTAATGTAAGAAACATTTTCGCTGTGTTATATGCATATTTATTGCAGGCTGTGAAACTCCTTTATAGAAGAAGCAAAGTTTCACAGATAAGAATATATAAGATTTACTATAAAATTATATCTACATAAAATTACCAAATGGTGTAACAATAGTGGCTAATACCATTAGTTTTGCCAAAGGGCATTTTATAGCTTAAAATCTTTACATTAGACAGCAAAAATGTTAGTATGTGTGATCACAACATTATCCAAGTCATATGCCAGCAGGGGCTTTAAATAAATATATCAATGTCTAATTCTTACAAGCTTTGTCTTTTTTGGTTTAACTGATCTCAGGTACGTGAGTTAGATTAATCATACTCTGGCTCATGATATACTCTCATCAATGGTCCATGCATGGTTTGCTTTTGTATTTATATTTATAATAAATGTGAACACAAAAAGTAGAAAATTTGGCAGAATACTATCTATATGTTCCTCCCCACAACCCATCTCTCTCCTGTGTCCTCCCACCTAACGCTTTCATTATTGCTATTAAATACTGTTTTATATGTAATCCCAAGACAAATAATGTTTAGTGTTAGTTGCTTATGACCTTATGAAAAAGCACCATTTTAAGTAATCTTTTTGTATATTATGTTTTCAGTATAATATTGCTAATACTCATTCACATTATTCCATGTAGCCACAGTTCATTTCTTTGAGTGCTATGGAATATCTTACTGTGTGAACCCACCAAATTTTTCTATTAGGAATGAATTAAGAATGAGGTATCTAATAAAATATGTATTACAAAAATTACAATTGCTACATACTAAATGGAAAAGATTTGGTAAGAGGACTACTAATGCCTGCAGAGAAAATGAACTAACACAATATTGACTATATAACTTACTTCTGAATTATTACACTGATGTCAGGAAAACCTTAGGACTTCAAAATGAGACACAGGAATTCACAACAGGCAGTTAATATTATAAAGCAGATATGAAATAATTTATATGAATTCTACTAAAATAATTTAGAATGACAAAGAATATATGGTTTATCTGCCTTTCATATTTTAGCAAAAATTCTTAAGATTAAAAAATGTTAGATTTTCAGTTCTATTTAAATTGAAATAACCAATCTGAAAATTTCCCCTAACTGTATAGCTGATTATTTTTGCAAGTAGAACAGAAAAGTGTAAAAATCCAAAGAAAAATGTCATGGATGCATAATGTATTTAATTAAAAATGATATTTAAAAAATAAAGCAGGTAAGTGTGGAATGTAGAATAAAAGAAAGAATCATTTTTCATTTCCTTAAGCATTCCAAAATCAGAATCTGGATTTAACCTTAACTTACAAATAATATTTTTTGGCTCTTAGCATTGAGCTTATTGGTTCAATAAAAAAATTTCAGAATAAAAAGTTCTTCTACCTTATAATAATTGTTTTTCAAAGTGAAAATAAAATGTGCAAAGAGTTAATGTTAGAACCACGTAAGTAAAAGCTACCTTAAAGATTATCTAGTCCAGTTTCCTCACTTGAGGAAACAGAGGCTAAAAGAAAATGATCTTCTAAATTAATAAGAGCAATTCCTTAGGTTTATGGGAGGTGATCTTACAAACACTTGTTAATCAACTCACAAAACAATGATCCATGGGAATTCTACTGCCTGCCTACACAAAGGTTCAATTGTGAAGAATCTACAGGAAGTGAATTGCCTTAATATACTCCAAAATGTCCTGTGGAATAGGTAGCCAATCCCCAAATTAAGTCCTTTTTGCAATTTAAAACAGGGGTCAGCAAGCTTTATCTATAAAGAGTCAGTTAGTAAATATTTTAGATTTTGTGGATTATTCATGGTTCATGCAACTACTCAACTCTTCCGTTGTAATGTGAAAGGAGCCATAGATAATACATGAGTGTGGCTGTGTTCCAATAAAACTTTAAAACAAAGACAGCAATCTACATTTAGCCCACCAGTCATAGTTTTCTGACCCCTAATTTAAAGCATGCAACTTATTAAGTGTATAGACCAAACAAAACTTTGTATGAACAAAAGAACAAGAAAGACGCTACCTGAAAGCATCAGGATAAATAAAGAAACTTTTATAACCAAAATGTTTAGGCTGATATCAAAAATACTTTGAAACACAAAATCTCATAGTATGGAAATGAGAAATGAAAAACTGTAATTGTTAAAAAAAATTATAATAACCTAATAATTAATTTGTTCTGTACTGTTTTGTCTGAATATAGGAAATACTATGTCTGAAAAGCATATCAAAAGCCTCTATAGAGTAACTATGACTGACCCAATTCTTACTTAATATTAATTCAGACTCTCCTACTATAAAAAGAAAGTGTGAAATCCAACAAGAAATTTGAGATTGTTTACTTGTCCTTATAACTTTGGTTCTTATGTGGAATTTTCAAAATGAACATGGCAGAGCTGCAATACATACTTTATAAACCATAAAATATGTAGGCAAGCTAAAAGGGGAAAAAAATTAAACATGCCATCATGTACTTGCTTGAAGCTCTTCTTTTTTCTGGGGCTCAACTGGCCAAAAAGGAGTAAATACACTACCACAACAAGAATCAGAAGACAAAAGGAGAAATTTCACACAGGAGACAACATTCACATTTGTTCTTCTTTATACAATCTAATTTGAAATGCATAGGTAAAACAGCATTTCACCCATACAAGTCATACCATGAAACACACATGTTGACAAATGTTTCTGATATTATTTAGCAATAATACACTAACACTGTATTTAAAGACCTGGGGCAGGTTGGTAAAATCAAACCATGATGTTCCTTCTTAAATTTTTGCTTTGGTATCTCCATCATTTTTCACTGATTATATCAGCTTCAGCTTAAATACAAAAACTAAAGTATCTGCAAAAAGGTAGTGTCCTTCAGTAAGAAGGCACTCAGTTCTGCACAACTACAGCAAATCTTTTATGTATTTATCAAAGTACCCAAATATTAACAAGTTAAACAGGTTTTGTCAAGAATTTTGACACGCTATTATGAGAATTAAATGGGTTAATATGTTTGAAGTGATTAGCCCAATATCTGGCATATAGTAAACAGTTTTTCTGTGTTTAACGAACACAAATTTGATATTACTTCTGAGGTGCTAAGCAGAAATATGGATCACCAGTCTCTTTTTGAAGTAATTTATGATTTTTTTTTATTTAGAATTTAGCTCTGATGAGCAAGTTGGCTGAGCTCAATTTATTTGCTCACTTCACTCCTTCCTACCATATTCACTTTCTTGGACCAAGAACTTGTACCATTGTGAAACATTAACTGGAATGAGGGGAAAAGAAGCAATCATGGTTCAACAGCATGAATTCCAATATCCCCAATGCCAAATACTGAAATTATAGGCACTAGGCCCTCTCAAGGAGTAGTCTTTGGAGGAGTAGTCTTTGAAATTTATATATATCATAATATAAATTTTATGAAAATACTTATATTTTCATAAGCATAATAAAGATCTGAGAGAAAAGTAATTTTAGCCAATGGAATAACACACATTTAAAAGCAGCTAAAATGTGTATACAACCATTAATTGTCATTAATCTATCCATTTAGTTTCAATAACAGATACAATTAAATAGTGCTATCTCTAATTTCTCTTATTAAACTTTTAATAACTCAGGACTACTACACTAATAAATGAAAAATGAAAGTGAGAGAAAAAAGTTTACATTTTCTCCTCAAAATACTGTAAAGGGATAAATAAGCACATAGAAGAATTCTCACTTGGCTGGACATCTGCTTGTCCTTCATAGCTCAAGTCAGAATCAGAACACCTGAATTGCTCCAAAAAGTTCTCACACTTGGTAGGTTCATCTGCCCAATTGAAGATAGGCATGTTATAGTTTATGACATCTGGTCCATTTTGACAATAAATAAGGAAAAAACAGAGTGGTTTATTTTACCATCATTTAAGAACAAAATAAAACAAAACAAAACCCCACTGTGGTCAGAGGGTAGTCTCTAAATATACATTATTTTAAAAAATTCTTTTCAAAATATAACTTTCCAAGTGTATTTTCATGTTAATTTCTTTTAAAGAAATTAATTATAATTAAATAAATGAAAACTATTAAGTATACATTTTCATTGTTTAATCCACAAACACTAGGATTCATTGAGATTGAAAACTATTTTTGCTGCTCTTCCTAGAACAGTAATTCTTCTATTTTCTAGTCACCTACTCTTAGGAACAAAGCTATCAGCAAAATTTTTGCCTGAGAACATTAAGATGTAATGATTACTAGAATAAATTGGTACCACATTAAGTGATATCATCATAATTAACATAATAACAAGTTTGCCTCCCTATTATAACCTCCTAAATGGGTAATTTAAACAAACTTTCCCCAAGAGGTCCTATTTATTTGCCTGTTTCCAATAAAGAAAAGTTTCAAAAAGTTGATAGGTCTTAGTACTACTTTGAACTTTTGTAAAAGTTGGTTTACCCATAAACTGAACTTGGATAATTAATTCATTTGCATCTACTTAGCTCTAAAACCACATGAAATCTACTTAGAGGGCAACTGATTAAAATTATGAACAGGAAGCAAATCTAGGATAGTTAAAGTGTCATATTAATTTCGAAGTAATTTACACTTGAATTCTAGGTTATTCTTAATTCAAAGCTAAAAATACCACTTTTTGTTTTACTCCAAAGATTACTCTGCTACATGCTGACATAGTTATCATAAACTGAATCTCAAATTTATATTTTCATAAGCATAATAAAGATCTGAGAGAAAAGTAATTTTAGCCAATGGAATAACACTCATGAGTATATCAGTATGATAGGAAGCTCTTAGTATGACAGGTTGGATCCTTTATGCTACTCAGTGAGCTTGAAGCCGTCTTTTCATTAATATAACATAGAAATTAAANCTGACATAGTTATCATAAACTGAATCTCAAATTTATATTTTCATAAGCATAATAAAGATCTGAGAGAAAAGTAATTTTAGCCAATGGAATAACACTCATGAGTATATCAGTATGATAGGAAGCTCTTAGTATGACAGGTTGGATCCTTTATGCTACTCAGTGAGCTTGAAGCCGTCTTTTCATTAATATAACATAGAAATTAAAGCAACAACTTTCACCTGAGCTAACCAAAATTAGGACGGTAAAAATGTTCTAAAAATTTAATTACTAACTCAAGTGGTTAAAGAAAACGATACTTCTGCCTAATTACGGCACATGAATTGCTAATTTTCAAAGAATTAGAAAACAATAAAGTACACATTGCATATGACATTAAACAACACTAATTTCTTTGATATATCATATACTCTATAATATTTTTGGAACTCAGCACCTTGTTATGTTATAGTACTAAAAGACTTTTCAATAAAGAAGGTACCAGCTTTAGTCCGTGTAACTCCTAAGAGTTCAAAAAATCATTCTTAGTATTCTAAGTATAAATACCAACATTTCTTCTAAGCTACAAACACAAAAATGAAAAAACTGTGTGTGCATTGCTTCCTCTAATTTCTCAGTTTTCCCTTCTCACTTTTTTTCCCTGTAGGGAAACCTAACATCCTGCCAAGGAAGCTATCAAGAGAAGGGTTCAATTCTGAAATATAAAATATTTAATATCATGAGGAAAAAAGTTTTCCCACCAGCTCTTAGGAAATTACCACTAGCAGCAACTTTTAACACTTCACATTTTCACAAGCACAGAATAAATAGGTTTAATAAAAAATGCAGATTAATAAAGAATAATACCTGGTGAGTTTTTAGTTACCTTGGATTTGTATTATCTAAAACTGCTGTTCTTTCCATCTATTGGCACATATAAACAAGAGTTAACTATATTATTCATTAAGATACAGCTTTTAACAAATAAATTTAACTCTTGATAACACTAAAATTGCTCCTCATGGGAAAATTTCATTCTTAGAAATCACCTATTTCTTACATGTTTTATCTTGAGAGGTAAAGAGGAAAAAAATTAGAAGCTCTCAGTTTAAAACTGTATATATGTGTATGAAAGGGCGGTGGAGGTGGGTGGTAAAAGAGCTCTCCCTGTAATACCACCTGAACAACAGCAGCTATACCCGTGAGCTAGAGTATAGAAAATTATGTCCATAACTCCTCCACAATGTAAAGTACCACTTCCAGAATCCACAAAATTTTAAAAAAGTCAAAACACAACTGAGAAACAGAACCGATTTTTAACTCCTATACATTCCCAGATTTAAGAGTATTATTTTCAAGAAAATGATCTCCCTCTTTTTTCTGACAAAATGTTTCTAATTTTTTTACAATAATGCTTCAGTGACATTCAGATCTAAATACATCATATATAAAAAGAGCTACTTAATTTAATCAGATATTTAATATTTAATCCTCACCTCTCTTTCTATGAGATGATGCCAAATCCAAATCAACATTTCGTCTTCCACTCTGTTAAGTTAAAAATAATAAAATTTAATTGTGAAAATAATTTCAAGATTAAGATTAAACAGAGTACTAGAATAAAAAATAATCTATATAATTATAGCAATGTGCTACTTATTCACCAGTCAAGTCAGGCTAAGAAAAAGTGTCTCTAAAAACCCAATGAAAACAGCTTTAAGAAAGCTCAGACAGATGACTCTGAGAAACTAATCACAAAGTCAATGTGCACATTAATTAACAGTGTAAAGTAGCAGAAGTTTTTCTTTGTTGTCACCATTTTCTCTTCAAAATCGTTGTCTTTTATCTTCCAAACACAGTATGATCTCTTATTAACACCCTCAAGATGCCTAAAGCCCCGTAGCAAAGTCTCATTTTCCAAAATTACTACTTGTTCTACCTTCACTTTCTATTGGTTCTAAAACTATTAGTCTTGGCTAGGTGTACCGAAGAGAATCTTATAAATTCACACTAACAGAAGACTAAGACAGTCCTAAGCCTTCTAGTTGAAATCTCAAATTGGTGAAACTGCAGTCAGCTTAATAAAACAGTGCAAGCTTTTAGGAAGAACAGAAGTATATTTCTGTGTGCCTGTGGTGGGGAGGCACTGGTGACAACTATCTACTCTCTCTTATGTAAAGACAACCATATACTGGTTGTCTGTACAAACCCATAACTAGATTTATGCACAGATACGACATCAGGATCTTAGCAATATCAACTGCACTCTATCACACAATAAAAAAGTTGGTAGCAAAGAAGAAAGCCTGCAGAAGTGACAAAACAGATCTATTTAGGAAACCTTGTTTGGAAAATCTCTTCCTGGTGACCCACACTGTGGGTAAGTACATTTTGTTTTACATACACACACACACCAGAAATAAGCATGCCACCAGGCCATTTGGGGCTGGAGAAAACACCAAAGAGTTGTCATGATACTTCCTGAAGATATTACCATGTCATGCAATGTAATATTTTTATCAAACAGTAACTTTGCCATTAGGGATTACTGAAGAAATTTATCTCAGGCCTCAGAACCAGAAATATCTCAGTTTTTCTCAAAAATAAAAATTTTATTTTTTGTTTGTTTTTATCTGTTAGTCATTATGAATCATGCAACTCATATTTTTCCTATTCAGTGGCCCATCTCTAGGAGAATATCACAGGCTACATGAGGAGGTATGCAAATCTTACTCAGGACTGTATTTTCCTCTCTCAGCTTCTTCTAGTCCTAATTCATTCTCTTATACTTTTATAAACAGTATTTACTTGTGTATGCTAAATCATTTTTTTGTGAAAGAAGCGGGTAGGGAAATGAGGTGGGTAGACTAAGAGTAAAGTAAGAAATGATAATAAGCATAACATCTGTCAATCAAACAGTTAGGTTTAACTGTGTAACTGTTGACTTAGGTTTCTCTGTTTACTAAAACAAGAGAAGCAGATAATGTATCACATAATACTCTTTATAAAAGAAGATTAACACATAGGTTTAGCATTAAGCAGGTTAACTTCAGTTATTTTAAGAAAGCATTTCATTGAGTAACAATTCAGGATAAATAAGTACTACTAGATATTAAAGATATGAATGATAATCCTAAATAAACTCAGACAGAAGGGTAACATATTTCAGCTGGAAAATCTCACATTGCCCCCATGGCTTGGTCCTCTTTGTCTATGTGAGGCTCAAAACTGAAGGGTCAGCCTAGGTCTCCTCATCAACAAGAAAATCTGCTCTCTCTAGTTCTTGACTTATCCACTTTCTATGACACTATCTCTCCAAATATTCCATAAGAAAAGATGATCAGGAGCCCATCTTTTTAAAAATTATGTTTATTAATGTTTTTAAAACTATAGAAACCAGACTTTGCAGTTAGATCTAAGTTCAACCCACCTCCATTTATTTGTCTTCCGATTATGTTTTAAAAACATAACTTTCAGCATTTTCAGTTTAAATTGTATTTCTAAACTTGTTTTTCACAACTACCCAGGGAGGCAAGTATAACAGGAAGAGATATTCCCCATTTCAAAGATTAAAATGCTGGAGCTCAGAAAGCTAAAAGTGTCAGGCCCCAGATCAAAATAAACAGTTTTGTGATTAAATCAGATTTCATTGTTTATTTCCAAAAGGTATGCCACTTTAACTCTCATTTTTTATCTTTTCATATCAGTTGAAATGAATTATCAATTATTTACAATGTGTAAAGCACAATGTTGGAAATATGAGGGGCACTAAAAAAGGAACTTCAGAAATTTGAAGAGGTCTACTGGAAAGAAATACTAATAATATATAAGTAAATCCAACAACTAGAGAAAGTCCACAAGCAGCAACAGAGTTCCAGTGCAGCCAAAAATTTAAAAATTAATAAATAAAATTTTTATTTATTTTTTTTCCATTTATTTTTATTAGTTGGAGGCTAATTACTTTACAATATTGTAGTGGGTTTAGCCATACATTGACATGCATCTATCACAGGTGAACATGTGTTCCTCATCGTGAACCCCCGTCCCACCTCCCTTCCCATCCCATCCCTCTGGGTCATCCCAGTGCACCAGCCCTGAGTTTGATGTCTCATGCATCGAACCTGGACTGGCGATCTGTTTCACATATGGTAATATACAAGTTTCAATGCTATTCCCTCAAATCATCCCACCCTTGCCTTCTCCCACAGAGTCCAAAAGTTTGTTCTTTACATCTGTGTCTCTTTTGCTGTCTCACATACAGAGTCATCGTTACCATCTTTCTAAATTCCATATATATGCGTTAATATACCATGTTGGTGTTTTTCTTTCTGACTTACTTCACTCTGTATAATAGGCTCCAGTTTCATCCACCTCATTAGAACTGATTCAAATGCATTCTTTTTAATAGCTGAGTAATATTCCATTGTGTATATGNAAATGGATTAAAGATCTAAATGTAAGACCAGAAACTATAAAACTCCTAGAGGAGAACATAGGCAAAACACTCTCTGACATAAATCACAGCAGGATCCTCTATGACCCACCTCCCAGAATATTGGAAATAAAAGCAAAAATAAACAAATGGGACCTAATTAAAAATTAATAAATAAAAATTTTAAAAAATTAAGTAAGTCCACCATGAGACAAATCATTAGTGGTTTATTAGAGGTACTAACAAACTGCCAGGGAAACAACAAAGTCACTGTTGAGTAATCTTAGGTAAACTTTTGGAAGAGGTGACATTTTAACCAGTCCTTAGGAGTGAGGCAAGACTTCATCAACAAAGGAAAAGGACATTTAAGGCAAACAATCATTGAGCAGAAGCTCAAAAGGTGTGTTTGGGGTCTGGGCAGATGGACTTCCATGCTATGGCAAAACTGCAGATTACTGCAGGGAAAAGGGCTTCAAAAGCAGGCAGGCAACATTTTCCAGAATCTTTGATTTCTGGGCAGTCACTGAGTTTTTTGGTTTTTTAATAAGAAGGTAGCATGAATAAAAAGGTAGCATGACCAGGAGGTGTTCTGCTGTTGAAGTGTGTTCTTGTTTTGGGTGTTTTTAAGAGCTCCAGCTCTGGCAGCAGTACCAAAGGAGGGGGACTGGAAAAGACAGGGAGATCAGTTTGAAAACTACCCATTCAGGCAAAGGTAACAAGGACCTAAATTAAAGAGCTGAAAGAACAAGTAGGCACAGAAATTTTACCAAAATAGATCAAACATTCATTAGAAAAAAAATATTTAATGACTACTGTGTGCCAGGCACTACTGGTACTTGGGATACAGCTGTGAATAAAACAGTAAAAATTTCTGTCCTCAGGGAACTTATATTCTAGTGTAGGCTAAGAGAAACTGATAAATACAGCAAGTAAATAATGCTAGGTACTGGGCAGGGTTGGGAGTGGGAATGGGGGTGGGGGTGGGTATCAGCTTCCCTGATAGCTCAGTTGGTAAAGAATCCACCTGCAATGCAGGAGACCCTGGGTCAATTCCTGGGTTAGGAAGAGCTGCTGGAGAAGGGAGAGGCTACCCATTCCAGTATTCTTGGGCTTCCCTTGTGGCTCAGCTGGTAAAGAATCTGCCTGCAGTGCAGAAAATGCAGGAGACCTGGGTATCAGCTTCCCTGATAGCTCAGTTGTAAAGAATCCACCTTCAACACAGGAGACCCTAGGTCAACGCCTGGTATGGTAAGATCCCCTGGAAAAGGGAAAAGCTACCCACTACAGTATTCTGGCCTGAAGAATTCCATAGACTGTATAGTCCATGGGGTCGCAAAGAGCTGGACACGACTGAGTGACTTTCACTTTCACTGTGGGGGTGGAGTGGAAGGGGCAGAGCAAGGCAAAGAGGACAGGGAGTGAACATCTGAAGAGGGCAAACTGGAGTTTCAAACAGAGTGGTTAGGGTAGGCATCACCAAAAAAGTAACATTGGAACAAATGCTTGAAATGAGGGGATTTGCCTGCAGACAACAGTATTCCAATTAGAAAAAACAGCTGTATAAAGGTCCTATGGGGAAGCTGTGTGGTATGTTTACAGAAAAGTCAAGAGGTCAGTGTGGCAAGAAGGACGGTCATCAAGGAGGAGAGGAGCAGCAGAGGAGACCAGAGCGGAGTGAGGCCAGGATATGCAGAATGGTATAGACCCCTACAAGTCACTGGAAGTTCTGAGGAGAAGAGTGACATGATCTGTTATAAAACTGTCACGGAGTTAGGAGAATATTGAGACGGATCAACTTGGAAAATCAAAAGGACAGAAAGGAATACTCAGTAGATGGTAAGACTGGAAATGTGAATCGGGACACAGAGATACTAATGGGAATGAAGAAAAGGAGGAAGAATAGACAAAAACATACAATGAAACTTGCTTGAAGACACTGTTCAACTTTCCTACAGGAGGACTCTTTCACACTTAGAAGTTTCTTTTAAACAATAGCATCATATTTATGTAGCATTCCATACTTCTCAAAAACACTTTCACATCTATTTTCTCAGTTCACACAAGAGAGAAATTTCAGAATTCAGGAATTTCAGCTAAAAATGGATTGTATCAGTCAATCCAAAAATACAAGCTAGAAACTATAAAACTCTTGAAGGAAAACACAGGCAGAACACTCTTTGACATAAATCACAGCAAGAGCCTCTTTGACCCACCTCCTAGAGTAAATGGAAATAAAAACAAAAGTAAACAAGTGGGACCTGATTAAACTTAAAAGCTTTTGCATAGCAAAGGAAGCTATAAATAAGATGAAAAGACAACCTTCATAATAAGAGAAAATAACTGCGAACAAAGCAACTGACAAAGGATTAATCTCCAAAATATTCAAGCAGCTCATGCAGTTCAACATTAGAAAAGCAAATAACCCAATAAAAAACAGGGAGAAGATCTAAACAGACATTTCTCCAAAGGAGATATGCCAATGGTCAACAAACACTTCAAAAGATGCTCAACATCGCTCCTTATTAAAGAAATGGAAACCAAAACTACAGCGAGATATCACCTCACACTGGTCAGAATAGCCATCATCAAAAAAATAAATGTTGGAGAGCATGTCAAGAAAATGGAACCCTTAGTACTGTTGGTGGGAATGTAAATTGATATAGCCACTATGGAGAATAGCATGGAGATTCCTTTAAAAACTAGGGATAAATCTACCATATGACCCAGCAAACCCACTACCGGGCATATACCCTGAGAAAACCACAATTCAAAAAGACACATGTACCCCAATGTTCACTGCAGCACTATTCACAATGGCCAGGACATGGAAGCAACCTAGATGTCCATCAACGGATGAATAGATAAAGACATGGTACATATATATACAGTGGAATATTACTCAGCCATAGAAAGGAACAAATCTGAGTCAGTTGAACTGAGGTGGATGAACCTAGAGCCTGTTATAGAGAGTGAAGTAAATCAGATAGTAAAAAATAAATATCGTATATTAATGCATATATATGGTTCTAGAAAAATGGTACTGATGTACCTATTTTTAGGGCAAGAATAGAGATACAGACCTAAAGAATGAACTTGTAAGCACAGCAGGGGGAAACAGAGGGTGGGATGAATTGAGAGAGTAGCAATGAAATATATACATCACCAAGTATAAAACAGATAGCTAGTGGAAGTTACTGTATAACACAGGGAACTCGGCCTGATGCTCTGTGAAGACCTAGAGGGATAGGATAAAAGGGTGGGGAGGGAAGGAAGCTCAAGAGAGAGGGATATATATATATATATATATATATATACACACTTATGGCTAATTTACATTGTTGTAAGGCAGAAACCAACACAACACTGTTAAGCAATTATCCTCCAAAAATATATAAATTAAAAAAAAAAAAAAAATCTCTTCAGCAGTAGAATCAGGGTCAGTAGCCAAGCCTAAAACAGTAGTCAAGTCTAACACATTACCACATACACAACAGGCACTGCTATCCTCATATCACACAGTAGGACACTAAGGCCCAGAGAGGTAAAGGAGCACATACAGATTCAAATAAAAGGCAGAGGAACAGTCAAAACGAAAATCTAGCTATCAACTCCAAGTCCAAAGCTACTCAAATAGAAACTATCAGACTGTTCTCATTCTATAATTTATTTAACCCATCACACTACAGCACACATTACTTCCTACTTCTTATATAGATCAGCATCTCATTTCTTTGATTTTTACCTTAAATGCCTGCAATCCAAATCCTGAGGCTTTTTTTGATAGGTAACTGAGAGCTACTGAAAGATTTTGAGTAGAGGAGATATAAATAGATTTGTATTTCAGGAATATTCTTCTGGTGAAATGTTGAACATGGGCATAAGACAAGAGAGAGGGAAACCAATTTGAAGGTTTTGTACTAGTCCATGAAAAGAGAAGAAAAATTTGAGACAGAACAGTGGCAGGAGGGATGGACAGGACATATTAGAAAGGTATTAGGAGTAAAATTTTCAAGGTAGGACTAATTGGACTGTGGGGAGTGAGGAGGACCAGGAACTAAGAAAAAGTAGAGGCAAGGATCAACTTAGGTTTCCAGTCTGGAGAGTTAATACGAAGACAGTGGATGGGAAAGAACAGGTTTGGGAGAAAAACGAGTTTATTTTTGGATAGGTTAAGATTGTGGTCACCTGACATGTTCAGGTAGAATGTCCATCAAGGAGTTAGATACATGAACTTGGAGGTTAAGAAGAAGTCAGGGCTAAAGAAAGTAAGCTGAGAGTCACTAACATACAGGTGATAAATACCTATGCAATAAAGTTATCTCATTTCTCTTAAAAGTTCTTTTTAAAAAAACTTTTTTGTCTAAAGCAAATGTATATTACTTACTCTAACCAAAGTCTTATGTATTTATACAAAAATCCTTTACTGAATCTAGGTATACCTACCAGTGCGTAACCCTCTTCATCTGATTCAGGCTGAGACAAATCAGATTCACTCCTCGATTTGATCAGTCTATAATTTGGACTTGCGTGGACTAGCCGGCTCTCTGCAGTAAGACTTTCACTCCTGTCTCACATGCACAAAGAAAAGTTTTTCGATTTGGGACTGTTAGTGAACATAAAATTGAATGGAACTAGCAGCATAGAGATAAAACACACACACAGTGAGGAGTAATTATGACTGCTGATGGAAAATCCTGGCTCTCAGTTAGGTCTAAGCACAAAGTCTTCTTCATCAATTACAGAGATATGCAAATATTTTCATGTTTCTCAACTACTGTTGCTTATATGTATGAAAAACTGTGCTGTCTCATTTAATCAGAAATTTATCCTCCTGGTTGAACTAGGATCACTCTACATTAAATTCATCCATCAATTTGTATTTCCTCCTCCATGTCTGTTTTAACTTCAGAATAAATCATTTCAATGCGTACAGAAACAAAGGGAGAAGAAATGTTTTAAGTTTCTACTCAGTCCCACCTGGTCATAAGTCCACCCCCTTCAGAGGTACTCGTGGAAGGCTGCTGCAACTGTCCTTCTTCCCTTCGCTTCTGAAGCTCCTCAATCACAGGACTTACTCCTAATATTAACAGGGCACATCGATGGATCACGGAGTTGCAGGCAGCAGTGTACACATCCTGACCCTCAGGAAGGTCTGTGCTCACCCTTCGCTCTTGCTGAGCCTGAGGAGGTGGATCATCAGCTCGAGCCCCAGACCCTGCCCCACTGTTCATTCTATCTCGATCTCGGCTACGAGCTACTTCACGGGCCGAGAGGAAACACTGAAAGATTTCTGTAACATGCAACACAAAAACAAGGTCTTAACACATGGGGAGAGAAGAGCAAAGAAAATAACAATAAAAATAGTCAAAAAGTTTGGACCAAAAACTTACTGAAAGAGGGAAAATTATTTTTTAGACATTAAATACAGCATCTAAGTAAAAATTTTATCGAAAATATATGTATAATATTAAACTTCTTGTAAAAATTACAATAGGAAATACTCATGCTTTTATAGAATTTAGATTTGGTTGATTCTATTTCTACTCTTTTGAGTTTGATCAGTAGTTTACAAAGTGTGGTTCCAGAAGAGCAGCATCAACATCATCCAGGCATTTGTTAGAAATGAAAAATACTGTGCTTCTCTCAGACACTCTAAATCAGAAGCTCTGGGCATGGAGCTAGCAATCTGTGTTTAAACAAGCCCTCCAGCTGACTTTGAAGGCCATTATAGTTTGAGAACCACTGGGTTAGATAAAAATAACTGCCCATTTCTGAAATGTTCACAACCTTGATTTGAAAATTGTCAGGTTACAAGAGAAAAAGTTTAAGTTGCATTAGTTAAAATGAAAAGCCCTTTTTCCCCTTCCAAAGTCCATATAATTCCTAACATCTACATGCTGTTGTATTTTGAACATATTAAATAAGCACAACCATTAAAGGTCTTTGCTGAAACAGAATCAGATTCTACTAAATCGCAGTCAAATGGCATCATTAGGAATGTCCATCTAACGAGAGCCCTTCCCAATTTACAAGTGTAAAAATTCACTGGGTTTAACAAGGTTCTGATGCAGTGGTAGATATTTCACAAGAGGAAAAGAATATTTTGCTCAAATTTGAGTGAAGGTGGTATTTTTAACGGAGAAACTAGGCCAAAAGTTAGTAAAATACTAGGTTCGTCTATTAATATGGAAGTGGTAGTAGTGGTAGTTTAGTCACTAAGTAATGTCTGACTCTTGCAACCCCATGGACTGTAGCCCGTCAGGCTCCTCTGTCCATGGGTTTTCCCAGCAAAGAGGTTTGCTATTTCCTTCTCCAAATATGGAAATACAAACTTTAAAATAGATCTGTATATTTTAAGGTATTATGATAATATATTCATTATGCTATTGAAAGTCCCTTATTTCTAAGAAAAACAAACCAATGAACTAACAGTCCAGAGCTGGAAACCAGTTAAAGTAATTAAGACAATTATCACTGGAATTCTGGGCAGACTTGGTTCTAATTCCAGCTGCTACTACTTGTGGCCCAAGGCACATAATTTTCCTTCCTTAAACCTGAGTTTGTCCATCTTTAGAACAAGGTAATACTAGAAATCATAAGACTGAGAGGATTATGAGTTAATCGATGTGAAGCATTTGACCCAAAAGGCAGCATATAACTGATGCTCAAAAATGGTACTTAGTTTAAAAATTATTACTCCCTGGTTAACTATAATGCTTTATTATACAGTAATTAAGGGTTACATTTTGGTTCTGTGCTTTTCCCCTTTGGTCTTAGCTTTCAGGAATTTGTAAACAAAACCTTAAGTTCATCCAAAAATGTTCCCTCAGCCTAGGTTTTAAAACTATAACTATTCTCTGGGAATTCCCTCGTGGTCCAGTGGTTAGGACTCAGCATTCTCACTGCCGGGACCCAGGTTCAATCCCTGGCCGTGCGGTAAGGCACCCCTCAAAACTATATTGTATATAATTATAATTATCCTCCTACTCTTCATCTCTAATGCCCTCTTCTCCATTTGGACCTTATATTTTTTCTTGTTTTAATGGGCTTTGGCCTTGTTTTGAGTCATCTCAAAATCATTTTTAGAAATATGCAAAACACAAATAAACTGGTAACAAATTAAGTGTCAAAATGAAGAATATAGACAATCTCAATACCAAATGTGTAGATGGCCATAATGTTTCAGGCTACAAAACTGAATATATACTTTAACTTGATGTAGCCAAATCACTCAAAAGATACTAACAAATATTTAAAAGCTTTGGCATTTCTCTTTAAACATTTAAATGACTATATTTTAAAACTATCTGTAGCCTTATAATATAAAAGCATGAAAAATGTCATTCACCAGCCAATAATATTCTCATGTAACATTCTCAACCAATAATATTCTCTCTTGCTTTCTACTGAAAACAGCAGTATAGTCAGTGGGTGAAGTTTATAATTTAAAAAGTTCTGCATATGGTCTCTCTCCTCCTCACCACTTAGAAGTCAGCCAGGCGAATGAACAATTTGGGACCCCTAGAGAACATACTTTAAATGACCCTATTCAATGACTCATGGGCATCACTTCATGAATGAAACTCAGTGGAACAGGTACTATTTCCAAAAGCCTACATATAGAGCTTTTCAGCCCCAAACACGCAATTCAATAGCTTAAATGGAACTAACACAGCTTTAAGAGCTGAAATGTTTGTCTCTCTCCTCTGCAGTCAGTTTCCCTACCAAAAAGAATGCCACAGTGTGTATCTGCAAAGCAAGAAGGGTGTACTCACTGCCAGCTGTCATCACTTCATGTTCTCGTTCTTCCTCCTCATCCTCTGGCTCTACATGTCCCTCTTCCCGATCTCGCTCAGCCTGTTCTTCCATTTCAGCTTCTTCATCAATGGTCCGGGTAAATGAATGCTCCTGAGGATCAACATCTGCGGAGTCTTGGTTTTCTGAGATCTTAAAGAAATAATCAGAGCTACACTAAATATATATTTTTTAATTTTGAAAAATGTCATTAAAACCTTGACTTTTTTATCATGGAAAATAATGTTAACAGCAGTAACAACTCATGAACTTTACCACAAAAACACAAACAATATACTGGATAAATCTGAAGAGATTAAAAAGAATGTATAGAGACATCTCATTAAGCTCTCTTCCTCAACATTTTTACTGTTCTGCTGTAAACTGCTAAATTAAAATGACTTGAGTATGACAATAAGCATAAAAGGTAATTAAGGAACATGAAATTTAATTCTATTCAGTCTCCCTCAAGTTGTGTATGTTATTGCTACTCTGTATAAATGTTTAATAATTCTAACTTAAAAGAGTGCTTTTTAACCTTTAATTGATGGAAATATTTAAATTATATTCTCTTAGCAAATTTCAGTTATATAAACATATTATTTTTTAATTATTTTCTCACTTGGCCCTTGAAGAAACCAAAAGTTAGAAATCTGATAAGGACAATGTTATTCCCCATGGTGGTTATGATACCTAGCAGTCATCTAAAGAAGAGAGTCCTTATTATAGGTGTGATTCATGGTTAGATGGGGATACTGAGCAGTCAGTCAGACTCGCACAAAACATACGTCATGTATCCTCACAATATGTAAGTTTCAAATGTGAGCTTCAACAAAATAGCTAATTAATACATTTCATGGGTCACTCACAAATAATCACATCCACAAATATTAAATCAGTGCATGCTAAAAGAATACTATAATACAAATGCAGAGAGAAAGTTTGGTTTTTAAAATCTAAGATCTATATAATGGAGTGCAAAGCATCTTATGTATGAAGCTTCAAAGAAAGTTTCAAAGAAATTCATATGTATAATTATGTATCAGGCTATACTCATAATTATAGGATCATGTTATCAGAATGATCAAGCACTTCAGAAATCATTTCAATTCTGTTGTAAGAATTACTTCCAGAACATCCTTAATAAAAGTTTTTAATCTTTACCTCCAGTGGTAGGCAACTCTAATCATTAGAAGGCTTTTTTCCTTACATTCATTCTTCACTCAGTTGTTACCCTTTGGTCCTACCTGTGTCCTCTGGAACAACAGGGAACATGTTTATTTCCTCTCCTACATGAAGCCCTTTAAGTATCTTTAAGGCAGCTAACATGAGACTCCCCTTTGTTTTCATTTTCTAATCTAAGCATTTTTGACATTTTGCAGTTCTTGTATAAGATGATTAACCAATCTAAGGTAGTTTAATATCTCTCATAAGTTATGGTACCCCAAATCAAATAGGATAATTCAAATGTGATCTGATCAATGTAAAATAAAGGAATAACATTTCATATGATTTGGACAATTCAATTTGTTACTACATATATGGCCTAGAGAATATATAAACTCTCTCAGGAGCCATATACACTTGATAAATAACTGGTTAAATAAACCCCAATTTTCTACTTATCCAATTTGTTTCACTAGAAAAAGAACTACTGAACATTTATTGAACATCTGCAATAACTAAGGCACATTTTTTTTTCCCCTCACATAAACCAACATGGAGCTATCTCTTATAGCTTGCAGAAAAATAAGAGAAATTAACTGATTTCCAACTTTACCCATCTGTCTCTTGATGATGACCTGGTCTGAATAAGTTCAAGGTTCTTGCAAGCAAGTAAACGACTTCGAACTTTGTACACACAACGGTATACTTCTGATAAGCTTTTACCAGGTTGATATCTAAATAAAGAACCAAAATAGAAAGTTAATTTCTAATATCATGAGAGTAAATATTTGTCTGAGGATAGTTTTAAGTTACTTGCCGGCTTTCTCCACATGCTTGACTAAGTAAATTTGTATGTTTCAGAAGAGCTGCAAGAACAAATCTAGACACAGTGTCCAAGAGTGACTCATTACTCAAAGTTGCACTGTCCCAATCTGAAAAAAAAGATACACTGACATTTCAGAGAAAACAGTTCAGAGGTCTTTTAATAGCTTTAGTAACCCAACACCTGAATTTTATCATTTTTCTAAACAATTATTTAGCAAATGAACCTACTACATCCCACATACTGTGCTAGGAGTACAGTAGTAAATAAAACTAAATCCTGGATCTCACAGAGCATATATTCCAGTTGGGGAACATGTGCGTGCTTAGTCGCCCAGTCGTGTCCAATTCTTTGCGACGCTATGAACTGTAGCCCGTCAGGCTCCTCTGTCCATGGGGATCCTCCAGGCAAGAATACTGGAGTGGGCTGCCATGCCCTCCTCCAGGGGATTTTCCCAACCCAGGGATTGAAGCCAAGTCTCCCGCTATGCAGGAGTATTCTTTACTGTCTGAGCCACCAAGGAAGCCAAGAGGGGCATAAGGAGACAGTAAATAAAAACATTAATATGACAGATAAATGCTATGGAGAAAATTAAAGCATGGTAAGAAGAACAGGGACTTCTGTACTGTGTAAGTTTACTATTTTTTATAGACTGGTTTGGGAAGGTCTCAGATACAGCTACAATCAAGCAGAGAGATCTAGACGACATAAAGAAGAAGCCATACAGAAACAGCGTCCTTTCAAAAAAACTATGTCAAGGCTCTGAAGCGAGTGCAAGGAGGCCAATGCAGTTAGAGCAAAACATGGGTGCACAAGAGTCATAGAAGACATCAGAAAGCTGTCTGAGACCAGATCACATAGAGCCTTGCCACCCATTTCAAGGCCTCTTCATTTTACTCTGAGGAAAATTGGAAGGATCATCAGAAAACTTTGAAGAGATATGAGATGATATGATCTGTGTTTTAAAAGGCTCACTCTAACTGCTGAGTACAGAATTTACTATAGGAACAGCAACAGCAGAAGCAATTATTACAGTAATTCAGGTAAGAAATTATAGTGGCTCAAACCAAAGTAGTAGCAGTGGGGGTAGTAAGAAATGGTCAGATTTCTTAAGTATTTTGAAGACAGAGTTGAAAGAATTTGTTGATGGATCAGATGTGAACATAAGAGAAGTCAATGATGACTATAATATATTTAGAATGCAGTTGGCTTTTACCGAGAGAAGAACAGCCCTTTGGGAGGATGGGTATCTGTAATCAGGTGTCTATTTCTGAATAGTACCTTTTAGTTATCCTAGTAGAGATATTGAGTAAACTAGTCAAGTGTGTATATATCTGGTATTTGAAGTTATTGAAGTATCAATAGACATTATGAGTACATGTACATTTAGGTGGTTAAGAAATAAAACAACATTTGAACAGAAATGAGTACATGCAATTGAAAACCCAAATCACAGCATTAGATGATGAGAACTAGTGAGCTGCTTTCTTTAATTCCATGTTAGCACACTGGTACTGTAAAAATGCAATACATTCAGTAGATTCCAAATGGGGATATGGGAGGTTTACTGTCTACTCCACTCCCAGAATGTCTGCTAGGCTCTTGTTAATTTGACAGATTTACCATGCTACTTAAAAACAAAACCAAGCAAAACACACTCTTGGAAAATATTAAGCCCCAAGTTATCTTCACTTGTTCTTAATTCCTTTTTAAAACTCCTATCTTAAGAGAAAAATTTTAAAGATCGACTTTCCAGTCCTTTCTGGATGCTTAGGTAAAAATTTAAGTTCAGACTTACCTATTTTACAGGTGAAAAAATGAATAAAAACATGTCAGATTTTAAGAAAATCTTACAGCTAGAGAATCTTAAAATAACAATTTGTATTACATACAAAATTTTCCACATTAGGTTTTTGAGAGATCATCTGTTCCAAGGGATTGCTTGCTATTCTGAAAATTGCTATGACTTAAAACCAAACAAGATCTCATTTCAAGTAGGCTAATATTAAATTTAAAAGCAACCTGAAGTGACATCCTTTGCAGTGTTTCAAATTTAGCAGGGACCATCCTCCTTTGCAATGTTTAAAAGGTTCTTTTACAACACCTTCACTAAAGTTACAGTCATTTCATACCAAGCTCTACAAAATGTTTCCACTATTCAGGTATAAAGTCTAGGCTATATACCTAGACTTTGTATGGGTATACAGTGTACAAGCAAATGAACAACGGAGCCATAGAGTTTTTATTCCTCTTATGTTTACATCCGGTTTTTGAAAGTGCTCACTGCAAAGTAACAAGTGACAACATGATATAAAAGAATACTTAACTGCATATTCCAAGAAAATGATGAAATAAGAGAGTATTGGAAAATATAACTTAGAAACAAGTTTTCTCTTCCACTATCATACTTTTCTACCACTGATGAAAGTCAACAAAATAGAATGAGTAAAAAAATAAATGACAGACTGTACTGCATGAGATTCAACTTTCAAACATATCATCTCACTGGTATTTTAAAGATCTGAATGATATGTATCTCATTTTTATTATATAAAGTATTATAAAATGTGAACATGTATTTACTTTTACCATTTTTATCACAGAAGGAAGAAAGTACAAAGAAATAGGGAATTGCAGATCAAAGAAACAACAACATGGAGGAAGACAACTAGGGGTATGTATTCTGAAAAATCCAAAACATTGCTAAAGGGAGGAAGCATGGGGGACTTCTCTGGTGGTCCAGTGGTAAAGACTCCGTGCTTCCAATGCAAGTGGCTCAGGTCTGATCCCTGGTTGGGGAACTAAGATCCCACATGCTATGTGGGACAGCCAAGAAAATTTTTAAAATATATATATATATATATTTTTTTTTAAAGGGGAGGGGAAGCAAAGGAGCTGAAAGGAAATCAGGTATATCCTTTAAAAACTTGTACATAAAACAACCATATTAATCAATTAATCAATAGAAACTGAAATACCACTATACACTTTCATTACACTTTACTGCTGTACTTAATAATATACCTCATTTCAAACTGCTATCTTCAACAGCACTCTAAAAGAGGAAAGTGGTTTATAGAAGAGGAAAACGACCAGACCCAGAGCTCAAGACATTTACATACACATCATTTTAGTTCTTGACCAGGGCTTGCACAGGGAAGAGATTCATTAGACAAACTCTTATATTAGATCCATTTGCACTGCATGGAATCCTTCAGTAAAATGCTGCCTCTAGATTTATTATTCTTTATAAAAATCTCAATTTTCCCACACTGGATTTTCTTCAAACAGGATATATGTACATAAAAATACACAGGGTAGTTTCCACAAAAAGGAATAAGAAACTGTTTTTAAAATGCTAATTGTAAAATTCCTTTTTCTATAAGAAAATAATAGTGTTATTCCCGTGATTTTCCATTTATATATATTATAGATATATTAGTTGGTATTATGAGCTATCTACATATTTACCCCCTTTATCCTCTTTACTTTACCTTTACTAATAGCGTAATCCTGCATGCTGATCCAAAGGCTTCGAGCAGGCTCTTTCGAACAACCCAAGGCCAAATCTACGAAGACAGCAATTTCAGGCCGCAATTTATAATCAAAAGGCTTCTGTTCCTCATTTCCCGAAAGAGCTACTTCTAATAAGCAACTCATACATTTATCTAAAAAAAAAAAAATTACACAAGTTATCAATTCCAAGCCTCATAAATTTTGGTGCTACAAAAAAAACTTACCATATTTACTTAATGAGTGTGAAATGATATATTTCAAACCATTTTAAGTAGATGCTATAAAGGTAAAGTCTTTTAATGCTTCTCAATTTGGGGTAGTATCACCCCTTTCTTGGTGTGACTACATGTAACAACATTCCAAGAAGGAATTGTGGCATTTTGGTAGGCAGGGCCCTACATGTGCAGCACAGTCTTACGTGACAAAGAACTTTCTTGTTCAAAAGGGGTTGATATTCTTACTGAGAAACATGGAATCATTGGGAAAGAGACTAGCCAAGATTTTTTTTTCTTTTTGTAGACTTAAGGGAAAATAGTCACTTAAGGAAAATTAAGGGAGAACAAACATATTGATACTTTTATAAATAATTTCTCAACTGACATTTATATTAGTTAGGTGGTTCCTAACTTTTCAATGAGACATTTAGCATTAAAAATTCATTTTCCATTTAAAAAACAAAACATTTCACTAAATGATGGGTCCCGGGCTAATACCCAAAGTCAATTTAATTTAACCCATGATATAAATGAATTATCATTCATTTTTATAAAGACAAGGCCCATTTCCTAATATAAAGACTTTCCCAGCAGCTCAGTGGTAAAGAATCTGCCTGTGACGCAGGAGATCTGGGTTTGATCCCTGGGTCAGGAAGATCCCCTAGAGAAGGGAATGGCAACCCAGTCCAGTGTTCTTGCCTGGAGAATTCCATTGACAGAGGAGCCTGGTGGGCTACAGACTATGGGGTTGCAAAGAGTTGGACATGACTGAATGATTAACACTGCTATATTTCCTAATATAACAAGAATTTAAACATAAAATATAACATTTTAATAGTTATATAACCTTATAATTTAAAAACTGAAAAGTAACATTAAGACTGAAACTGATTTTATTCATACCAAAGGCCAGTTAAGTGAGTAAAGTAGACAGAAATATGAGGAAGATAGAGATAATGATACTTTTGCCCTCAGGAGGACATTTGGGACTATCACAGAGTTAGACATTGATGGCACTGGAACCATCTTTATGATGTTAAATGCCCCTTGGGAAAAAAACATGATTTTACTTTTCTTTTATACAAATGTTCCTAAGTACCAATGGAATCACTTTCTGGTTCATAAATGAAACAATAAATATATACTCCTAGCTGGAAGAGGAGGAAAGTCTTCAAAACCCCTCACTCCCACTCTTCAATCCCAAAGCAGAATCTCTGCAATTTTTGTCTTGGTTTCTACTTTTTGTTTCTCCTCTTGAAATTCTCTTAAATTGAGATTTCTTTTAGATTTTGCTTGTTGGACATTCTCTGAGTCTCCTTCTCTTACCAGAGAAATAATAAATTTAAAATCTAACAAGACCATATAGGCTATCTAATCTAACTCATTATTTCAAGGATTGAAATTAGAGGTCCAGAGAGACTGAAGGACCAATCCTAGATGAAACAACTACACCATCTGTTCATGACCTGGACAAACCTTCATGTTCAGACAGTCTGAGAGCTAGCCTACTAGCAAAGTAGACAAATGGGAGATGAGGCAGGAAAGGAAACTCCAAAGGTAACATAAATGAGGAGGAAAAAAATACAGAATCACACAAGGTAATATCAGCATGAAAGCAGGACAGGCTGGGAGAAGAAGCGATTGGTCCTCACAGCTGAAAGGTGTTTCTGACCTGAGCCCTGGTAAGTCATGGTCATTACCTGTCTATGAAGCAGTTTCATTAGCTCCAAGCCCAAGCACACAAGTAATCAAGAATTTACTCATTTTTATGAGTTAGATGATTTGCTTAAAAAGAGTGATAAACAATAACAGAGTAGAACCAGACCTGTACTTCTCTAATTCAGGGGGCACTTTTCACCATACAATGCCGTAGGATTTAACTTTTTTTTTTTTTTAATGGTTTTAACTTTTTCTGAGGGCTCCAAGTTACAGTCTTGGATCCCCTGCCCTGCAAATGTTGCGTTTGTTACCTATTGGTTCTCTATTCAGCAAACCCATAATAAGAGAAATCTCAAAGGAGGTATAAACACAAATGTATTTTATTCATAAATGTTGCAGAGAAGCACATTACCTAACTGAGGGGTGTCCATTTCTACACCATCACTAAAAAGTGGTGTTTTCATCCAATATGCAGTGTCCTGTTCCTCTGGAGACACAGGCGAACCCTGAAGCATGCCACCAAGACATCGCCCAATAAGAAGAGCAATTGTTCTTTCCAGATCCACAAGCCACACCCAGGACTGGGCTGGCTGAGGTAATGGCACGCCGGCAGGGTCGATCAGTTCTGGCCCTCCTGAAAACAAAATCATTAGTAATGTATCTGGTATTCAAGATTCTCAAGCTTTTTCATTTCTATTTCTATTGTACTGGAAGAAGATACTGAAGCAAAATAATTTTATAATGAAAACAAAAATTGTAACACTTTCTGTATATATAATCTTACCAAGCTAACTTAAAATACATTCAGATAAGTCTGCTATCATATAAAAATTGGCTTTGTAAAGTTACCAATTTTAAGATAAACATTGAAACAGTACATGGCAGAATTATCCCCCACTGGTTCTACCCAGATCAAATTTCAACCTTAAAATTGAGTAACTGAGATAGCTTATCCCTCCAAAATCAAAACAAGAGTTGATCTAGGGGACTTCTCTGGTGGTCCAGTGGTTAAAACTCTGTGCTTCCAAAGCCCAGGTTTGATCCCTGGTCAGGGAACTAAGATTCCACATGCCGCATGACACGGCCTAAAACAAAACAAAAAGAACTGATCTAGTAAAATGACAGTATTACTTAATGCTTTTAAGGCCTGAATTCAGAATTGTCCTGTACTAAGATCCAGATCCATGCTTTCTTACTGTACTTTTGTTTTTAAAAGTTCTTCACTTAAAAAATAAAACCAGCTAGCCATAAAGATAAGAACAGATATCAATGAAATCATAAACAAAAAACACAAGAGATCAACAAATTAAAATAACTGGTTATCTGAAAACACTAAAAAAATGGATAAACCTCTAATAAAATTAATCAAGAAAAAAAGATGGCATAAATTTTCAAATTAAAAATAAAAAAGAGGATATAAACCACAAACACACTAGAGATTTTTTAAAACCATGAGTGAATATTATGAACAACTTCATACTGATAAATTTGAAAGCCAACAAAATGATATTTTCTGAAAAACTATCAATGTCTGAAATGAATTTGAAAAGAAACAAAAACTGTAAGAGAACAACCACTAAAAAGGGAAAATTAATCACTAAAAATCTATCTATAAAAAAAATACTAGGGCCAGATAGCTTTTACAGTCTTTCAAACCTTCAAGAAGAGATAACTCCTAAATTAGACAAATTTTAAACAAAAGAGGGAAAAAAGGAAGATTCCAAACTGATGTTATGTGGTTAGTATAACTGTGGTAGTAAAAAATGACACAAAGGATAGCATGAAAAAGGAAAATAATGGAAAAAAATCAGTTATGAACACTGATGCAAAATCCAAACTAAAATGACACTTACCTTACCTAAGACAAATAAGAGTAATAAGTCTTAGAAATTTCTGAGATGCTTCAGAAAAACAAGACTAAACTTGGAATGGCTCCATATAAAGTCTAATCAATATCCTGAAAACAGCTGTAACCTTAACATTTGACTTCATCTAAATCCAACTGACACAAAACAATGGGGTGTAAGACGGGCCCTCAAAGTATTCTGTTCAAAGTAGTCTTTCCAGGAGAAGAAACCAAAGTTTAAAGAAGCTATAAGTGACTTGCCCAAGTCACTTATACACCCAAGTTTAAACAGAGCCAATACTAGAATCGAAATCTTTTAATGCCTTAGTCCAGGATTCTTCCATTAAACATGTAATCTCACTTAAACTTGAAAAGTTTTTAAGATTTCAGTAATGAAACTCCTTTGATAACCTTAGGATAGACAGGCTTCAATAGAAAAATATATTGCTGTTTTCTAGACATAATATTTTAAGTTATCTTCAATGGAATAAAATAACCAGAATTTTATAAATTAAGAGTGAATTCACACATTATGCCTAAAATCAAAATGCTATTTTCTGGGCTTCCCTGGTGGTCCAGTGGTTAAGAATTCACCTTAAAATGCAGGAGACACTGGTTTGATCCCTGGTTCAGGAAGATCCCCCATTTGCGCACCACAACTACTGAGCCTGTGCTCTGGAGCCCAGGGCCACCAGGGCCACAGCTACTGAGCCCATGTGCCTGAACTACTGAAGCCTGCATGCCACAGGGCCCACACTCCACAACACGAGAAGCCACTGCAACGAGAAGACTAAGCACTGCAACTGAAGAGTGGCCCCCGCTCTCTGCAAATAGAAAAGGCCTTGTGTGCAGCAACTAAGACCCGGTGCAGCCCCAATTTTTTTTTTAATGCTATTTTCTATAAAGAATCTGAAAAGAAAGATAGGTTCCCAATTTCTCCCTTTTACAATCAATCAGTTATCTATGTATCAAGCCAAAATACAAAATATTTTACTCTCAAATAAAGATTCAAAACTAAAAATCTTTGCATTTAAGAAATAAAACTTAAATCAATCCACTGATTGTAAAATGTGTCATTATGCTGCCAACCAATTTACGAAACCAATGCTTTCCTATTATCCACTGTAAGATGTATCCGAATTAAGCCATGTCAAAATCTGAAAAAAAGCATGTCTTGAAATCAATGAAATATACTATTCAAGCCTAATAATCAGATAAAGACTCGATTTGTGTCACTTTATGTACAAGCAACTTTCTTAAATTTTCTCATCTCAGGTACCCACTTTACACTATAAGCTCTTAGACAGCAATGACTTTATCTTTTGATCACATTATATCCCAAAGTGTCAGATATGATTTGTCTGATGTGGGAAAGAGGAATAACTTTTCTCAAATGCATTATTTACTTCTTTGTTAACTGTACTTACCATGAAGAGGCCACTGTAACTCTTGGTCTTCCAAAAGAGCAGCAGCTGGCAGGAGTCTATTAAGGCAATCAAGAGGTGGCAACAAGTCGAGGAGGTAACTCAGCAAAGGCCGAGCCACCGACACTGGGAGCAACAGGAGGGAGTTAACAATCTGGCAGAGCATACTGCCTGCAGCTGAGACGTATATCACATCTATGAAGGGCAAGAAATGTAACATGGATCAACTTTCAAACAAAGAAAAAAACTAATAAATAAGTTATTTTTGCCTAGAACTGGAGTGCACTAATTCAATAACTCTTTGTTGAATTATTATATAACTCTCTGGTAGCTAGGTAGGGGTTAGTATTTATTTACTTTCTGAAAGCATCACAACAGACACTTTATGGGAAAGCACACATATCCTTGTGCCAACAAATTCAAATGATTATAGCATCTTCACTTAAAATGTATTAAGAATTTCTCATTCACAGATTTATTCTCATTTTCAGATTCACTTAAGTATTTATTGAACACTTACAACCATATACCAGGCATATTATAGGTGAAAGGTGTATGATTGTGGATAAAGAACTGAAAATACCTGCCCTCACAGTGCTTACATTTTAGTCAGAAAGTCTTTTATGTTTTTTAAACCAAATGTAATTTTTCAAATTAAAAAATTGTGCTCCAAAATCACTGCAGATGGTGACTGTAGCCATGAAATTAAAAGACACTTGCTCCTTGGAAGAAAAGTTATGACCAACCTAGACAGCATATTAAAAAGCAGAGACACTGCTTTGCTGACAAAGGTCCATCTAGTCAAAGCTATGGTTTTTTCAGTAGTCATGTATGGATGTGAGAGTTGGACTATAAAGAAAACTGAGCGCAGAATTGATGCTTTTGAACTGTGGTGTTGGAAAAGACTCTTGAGAGTCCCTTGGACTGCAAGGAGATCAAACCAGTCAATCCTAAAGGAAATCAGTCCTGAATACTCATTGGAAGGACTGATGTTGAAGCTGAAACGCCAGTACTTTGGCCACCGGATGCAAAGAACTGACTCAATGAAAAGACCCTGATGCTGGGAAAGACTGAAGGCAGGAGGAGAAGGGGACAACAGAGAATGAAATGGTTGGATGGCATCACCAACTCAATGGATGTGAGTCTGAGTAAACTCCGGGAATTGGTGATGGTCAAGGAGGCTGCAGTCCATGGGGTCACAAAGAGTCGGACCCAACTGAGTAACTGAACTAAACCCTGTCATCTTAAAATGTAAATTGTGGGAGTGGGTCTGGTAAAATTTTTACAATCTTGAGACATTCTTTTGATTTACTGAAATAACCAATTGAAAAAGTATATAATTCCCTTGCTAAAGCTAGCAAGGGGGCACTCTCTGTCCCCCTTCTGATGCCTATGTCAGAAGCTTTCTCTGTCCCTTTTATACTTTAATAAAACTCTGCTACACACACACACACACACACACACACACACACACACAAAAGAAAGTATTTCAAGAAGGAAAGAGGATGGTAAATGCTAAAGAAAGGTGAAGAAATGGATGAAAATCTCACTTTATGCCATTTAATATTAATCTTTTTGAGTATATGTCATCTAATTCCTTTAAATTAGACCCCTAGCACAACAATGGGCATCTTTTAAGATTAACCAGATCAGTCACTGTTGCCATCATGCAAAACCCAGCTCAGGAGATTCAAAGTCATTCCTACTCCACTCAGAGGTTTCAGGCCCTCTTTGGCTTTAGAAAGGCTAAAAATTCCTGCTTTACAACCACGGATTAAATATGAAACCCAGTACCAAACATACCTCTTAATTTTTCTCCAACGCTGCCATTCCAAGGACTTTCTTTCAGCAAATTTGCAGAACGTGAATAAATATCTGTGGCATGAGGCAACAAGAGCTGAAGATGTTTATGAAGTAATGCCACACTGCTTGAATTCTGAAGGAAAAAGTTTCTAAATTACTACATTGGAAGATTCAAGATACAAAAATTTCATGGTTTGCCCAAATATCTGAGCTTCAAGGTCCCTGAGAAATGACCATAAAAAGCAAAGAATGACATACCTCACTAATGTTATTGATATGGCAAAATGCCAGCAGCTGTTTCTGCAGTGAACATAGCAGTTCATGAAGATGAGCGGGCTGACTGTTCTCTGAAGACGATGTTCCAAGTAGAAATTTATCACTGTTCTTTTCTAGCTCCCCAAATGCTTGATCCTAAAATGATACATAAATGAAGATTATATCTGAAGTGTTTGAAAGTGAAATTAATGTCCTACCATAAATAATTCTGATTTAAGAAGCCATGGTCTCCTCTCATTATTAATCCTTACAATCTTTGCTATTGCTATGAAGTCATTAGCTATAAGATGGTAAGATTTATCATGCAATTTCAACTTGCTTTTCCATCAAAAAAAAAAAAAGTAATAATGTTTCACCACAAAAACTTTGAAAATGCAAAAAACAAGAAAAAGGAAAACAATACCCAAAGACAAAACCTATCAACATATGCTACTGTTTTCCCAACCTCTTATAATATTTTCACACACTTGAATTTCTAACAACACAATTCTCAGAAATTACATTTATTTCTGATTATAAATGCAATAAGTGGACTAAAAACACATAAAAACTAAATACAAAGTATGATCCTGAATTTGAGGGACGGGGGGGAGGGTGCCAAAAAGGACATTACTGGGATAACTGTATAAATTTGAGCATGGACTATATATTATACAATAGTTCTGTGTCAATGTTAAATTTGCTGAATTCAGTACCTGCTCTGTTGTTATATAAGAAAGAGAACGTCCTTCTTAAGAAATGTATGCTTAAATGCTTAGTAATAGCCAGTATGATTTCTACAATTTACTTTCAAATAATGGATGGAAGAAAGGCAAATTTGGCTGAAGGGTATGGGATGTTTCTTTGAACAATTCTTGTAATTCATGCATAAATTTTAAGTTATTTCAAGTTAAAAATATTTTTTTAAAAAGAAATAGTGTAAAAAATTTAGAAAATACTAAAACTGTATTTTTTTAAAAGAAAGTTTAAATCACCATTTAGCCAACCACTGTATCTAATTTTTTTCTGCATTTCTTTCCTGGTTTTATGTTTTGTTTTTTTTTTTTTCATAAAACTACATGTTCTATTTTTAGTTTTCTCTTTTCTAACAGATCTACAAATATTTTTTGTATTTTCATAAACCATGTGTATGTAAAATCTGAGACAAAATAGTACACTGAGCATATATAATTTACATAACCATTCCCCAATTTTTAGATATTTCTGTTGTTTCCAATTTCTATTTCTTATAAATAATAATGTGATAAACATCCTTATGCATAAACTATGATCTTTGTTTATAATATGCAAAAGAAAGTCTCAGAATATTTTAAGGCTGTCACTATATCAGTTCAGTTCAGTCGCTTAGTCATGTCCAACTCTTTGCGACCCCATGAATCACAGCACACCAGGCCTCCCTGTCCATTACCAACTCCCACTATATAAGTACCATTTTAAGGGGGCAAATAAGCACTGCTAGAGACCAAATGTGTTCCTTCAAAATTCTTATGTTGAACCTAATCCCCAATGCAGTGGTATTTGAAGGTGGGGCCTCTGAGAGGTGATCAAGTCATGAGGGCAGAGTGAACTTATAGGAAACCCCCGAGAGTTCCCTTGTGTGAAGACAGCAAGAAGACAGCTGTCTACGAACCAAGAAACAGGTACCACCAATCTGTTGCCTCCTTAATCTTGGACTTTCCATCTCCATAACTGTGAGAAATAAACTGTGTTGTATATAAGCTGTCCACTCAGTAGTATTCTATGATAGCACAAACATACCAAGACAAGCACTCTTATTCTAAAATCTTAGAACAAGACAAATTGTTTTAAATTATATCAGAAAGAAACAGTAAATTACGATTTTCAGCCTAAAAGCAGTTATTACAGTTAGTATTTCATTTCCATTTCCATGTAATATACACATCTACTTCAGCCCTAATGGCATAAGAAAGGCAATATTTTAATAGAACTTTGGGAAAAAATTTCAGTCAATACCAAATGGATATACTTATAACACAGTTCCCATTCGATCTGCAGCCAAACATCAGATCAAATTTATATTCTTAAATCTGAAAGAAAATAATTCTACAGGAACAACTGTTACTCTGACTTAATCAACAACCTTTTAAGTTGGGCAGAATACAACACTAAGTCAAAGTCACTCAGAGCCAGTTATATCTGGCTCTTTGTGACCCCATGGACCACACAATCCATGGAAATTCTCCAGGCCAGAATACTGGAGTGGGTAGTGGCTCCCTTCTTCAGGGGCTCTTCCCAACCCAGGGATTGAACCCAGATCTCTGCATTACAGGCAGATTCTTACCAGCTGAGCCACCAGGGAAGCCCAAGAATATCGGAGTGGGTAGCTTATCCCTTCTCCAGCGGATCTGTCTGATCAAGGAATTGAACCGGGGTCACCTGCATTGCAGGAGTATTCTTTACCAACTGAGTACCAGGGAAGACTAGTACCAAAAAAGGGAATATACAGACCTGACCCTGAAGAGTAGGAGACAATGTGAAATGATACACAAACACTTTGAAGTTTAGTTACACAGTACACTTTGACTCTAAAAACTGATAAGAGGTATTAAAGTTATAGTTAAATGGCTAGAAAAGGTTATTTCAGCAAGGCTTCCTAGAAGCCTTTCTGGGCTTCCCTGGTGGTTTAGAAGGTAAAGAATCCATCTGCAATGCAGGAGACTCAGGTGTGATCCCTGAGTTGGGAAGATTCCCTGGAGAAGGGAATGGCTACCAAGTCCAGTATTCTTGCAAGGACAGAAGAGCCTGGCAGGTTGCAGTCCATGGGTTTGCAAAGGGTCAGACACAACTGAGTGACTACTATACTTTTCATGAGGTTATAATTACACAGTTAGAAAATGTTGTTTAAGCAAAGCCTTCCTAGAACAGTCAAGTGTTAAAGAAGTCACAGACTGGCAGACAAGAAGAGAAGAAATAGATGTGCTATACACAAGCTCAGGTGAGTGTAGTGTGTAAGCCAAATGATGAAGGGTCTGAAAAAGTTTTGATTTAATAAAATGAGGTTATTTAATACAACAAGGTTATTCCAGCAGTAAGATGCTGAGAGGAGACCAGTGACAGTGACAATAGTTATAACACTGTTATTACCATTAGGTCATGATGATATGGATTAGAACCCATAGAGATGGAAAGAAAAAAAAAAAGAAAAATCTATGAAACACCAGAGAGTAAGAATTAAGGGCATTCTAATAAGAAAAAGCAATACTACTGTCCATTGTCTTTTCTCCTATTGACCAGCCTATTTTTAGTCAGTATCAACCATACTGTTTAATTATAAGATCATATCTGGTAAGATTAATCCTTTCCTCATGATTCTTCTTTTGCAAAATGTTGTTGACTATTTTTATCTGTTTATTCTTACACATTAATATCAGAAAAAATTTGGTAAAATTTCAAAATAAATCTCTTTGGAATTCTCAACTATAAGTCACTTGGCACCCACAATATTTCAGAATATCTGACACATTTCCCCCTTTGGGGGAAAAACTTTATTTCATAAGTGTTTAAATGTCAAAATACTTTGACCTGAAATGATCCCTACACCCTTCAAAAAGAACCAACCCAAGTATTTTTTTCTTTTTTTTTTTTTTGGCCATGCTATGCAGAATGTGGGATCTTAATTCCTTGCTCAGGGATCAAACCTGTGTCTCCTGCACTGGAGGTGCAGAGTCTTGACCACTGGACTGGACTGCCAGGGAAGCCCTCAACCCAAGTTTTCTTCTTCTTC